ATACAAGGTGCCACAACGTCTGGGGGTTGATTTCCTAATACAATGTAATACAAGGTGCCACAACATACACTGGACATCACAAGGTTTGACAAAGACGTCCAGGGGTTGATTTCCTAATACAATGTAATACAAGGTGCCACAACGTCTGGGGGTTGATTTCCTAATACAATGTAATACAAGGTGCCACAGCATACGCAAGACATCACAAGGTTTGACAAAGACGTCTAGGGGTTGATTTCCTAATACAATGTTATACAAGGTGCCACAACACGGGACATCACAAGATTGGACGGATGATGAAGGAGGCTGCAGCAACAACATGGCAGCAGGCCTAGACTGCAATTCCAACCCGCAGCAGTGAGAGCCGACCAGTCCCTGGCTGGGTCTGATCAACTAAGTCGCCCACCTCTGGAGACATCGTGGATAAGTGGCAAACCGCCTAACCAAGGAGGACCATCCACCCGATGATGGGACTGGCCAGCATTGGAATATTCCTATGTATTCAAGGTAATGGAACAGAAAAAAAAACATTCACTTCAAAATGAACTTTGGATAATTTAATGAAAACTTACTTCAAGAATTTTGCATATTTTGGCTCTTTCCAGTACTGTAAATATTTCAGATAGTTGATAAACTCTTCTTGTTTGAAAAACCCTCTCTGTGCTAAAACTGAAAAAGAAGAAAATGATAAAGTTCTATTATACATCAATTATATTGTAGTGATTGGCACTATACATCGCAATATTTTAAATACAGTACGATACACAATAGTTTTTGGGAGGTTACAATACACGGTCTGCTCATATATATATCTGTTCAAACATGGCTAGTGAAAAATCCAGATCGTCATGCACATCAAAAGACGTTGTGAATTGTGTGAAACTTTAAGTCATGCCCATTTTGGACAAGTCGATTTCAGTTGTAATATTGCCTTCAAAAATTTGTAACAACTTCTTTTCTCTTTGCTTCTATTGTAACTATGTGTATCGTGATAGGATCGTGACCACAGTATCATGATACATGTCGTATCGCCATGTTGATGTATTGTGGCAGGTTTTAATTGTAAAAAATGTACATAGAGTTTAGTAGGTCGCCTTCTAGCTTAGAGCTAGAAGGAATTTCCCTTTAGCTCAGTGGTTCCTAGGACTAGGAACCTGGAGATCGAGGGTTCGATCCCCAGTGGAAGCACACTATTCTCTTTCCTGTTAAAGTATCATTGCAGCCCTATTATTACTATGATAAAAATAGCTTTATTACAAAAGCAGTCGGATATATTCTGGTGTTGATAATCAAATGAAATTTTCATAACAGATTGATAAGAATTCTAGACATCTACCAATTGAGCTACCTGGTTGTTAACGATCAACCTAGTTTTGCTACATTCCTTCCTAATTTTATTAAGTCTTCGCCCCGAAGACGCAATTATTCACAACCCAGATTTGGGCATATATCCCCTTGTCAAGCATTCACCTAGTACTTGAAACAAGGGTTTTACAGTGTAATTACATTTCTAGTGCAGAAAGTCACCTGTTACTTTACCCCTGTATATTGGTTCAGTTGAAAATTACATCCCAAAAGGTGCAGACAGTACTAGAGGAATTCAAGAGCACAAAACATTGGCCAAAGTTATTATTTTGTTTTTAGAGATTAGCATAATCAATGAAATTGTGACTTCTTCAATGAGCAAATAACTAATTATAACCTTTCAGTATTTTACTAGTTTGGGGAAAAGATTAAGCCTGCAGTACTCCACTATTAATTTTTTTTAGAAAAAACACAATGAAGAGCAGCACGCTGCGTAAACAACAGATACCACAACACTAGCTCTGTGTAACAGATATGATCCACACACTACAATGGCCAACACTACAAACACGGCGCTGTCACACAAGAATGATCCTTTTTTACAAAATTTTACACCAAATTGTAGCTATAAACCCAACATATATACTCACACCTGTAGACCCTCGAACCAGACATGCACACCCTCATGCATACAAACACATATCTGCTACAAAGGATACCTACAAATATTCATTCTTTCCACACACAATGGAATCTCCTNAAAATGTATCACTGTAAATAACCCCGTTTTTTCACGCCTCTGTGATAGGACCCCCGATATCATAATCATCACTATTGATGGAGCCCCTGCACCATAAAGAAGAAGACTACATGATTGCATGATATATAACCTTAAAATTTAGAAAACAAACTATTTCATTTATGTTGCTAATTCAATCAAGCAATACAACTGAGCAGAAAGATAACATTTTTTTTTCAAAACTCACAGGTCAGGTAATTTGGATTAGCCAGACACTGAACAAACTCCAACTCGGCTTGAAACCTGGTTTTCTGCTCATCTACATCTGAAAATATGCAAACAACGTTTGGTGAAATAAAGAATATTGGCAATTTACAAACATATCGTCATACATTTTTAGCAATGAGAGAGTTGCCTAGTACAAACGATTGTTGTCCAATGTGCTAAATGTTATCCAACATAATCTAAAAATGTCAAACTACAGAAAACTACCTGGTCCAGCAAGCGAGCTTTGTCTACTGGCCGCCATTGCTATATATACCACGATCAATATGACGCTTATTTTTGCAGTGTAATTTAAGTCCGATGCAAACACTTTACTGATTCGGACTACATTTATACGCAATGGCGGCTCCCATCTGACAATTTTATAGGATGTGAATTTCTCTCACAAGCGTCTTTATTGTTTCTCCAATTAATCGTTACAATATGCAGTCCTCTCGGACACCTGTTAAACTTGAAGTATTTCAGGCGATGCAGGACGTGAATGTTGTTGTTTTAAGTCGCCGCAGTGAACGCGAGCTGAGGCCGGTTTTGCCTTGCCTGGTTCGCATGGCACTTTGTAAACCACTTGATGAAAGTTCATCATGGACAAAGTCGCGAAAGGAAGTGCTTAAAATCCTCAATGGAATAGAAGTGGTCAACAGCATCGTCGCACTCCTCTCCATTGACTTTAATGCCCTTGAACAAGATGTTATCAAGGAACAGCAATTGAGGTATTAAACCAAAACAGTGAATTATTGCTGCTCTAGCAGAACATGGTTATAACTAGTACATGGACTGATATTAATACCCGGCCTGCGCAATATATAAAAAATCTCTCGTCGTCAGAAAGCTACGTTATCGCAGCTAGGTTATAATTATAACCTGTTGTATATCGAGGGTCCTCGAAACCGGACCAATGTCAAAAAAAGTTGGAACAAAATTAGTATGAGTTCTTGCTATGGGACGAAAGCGATAAGATATGTTCCCTTTCTACAGACAGGTTGTTCGTAATCATGTTGGGCACAGCGGCACATATGGGTAATAATCCTGCATTTGGGTAACAGTTACTGAAATGGGGAATAAAGTGGAATAAAAGCACACAAAGTTCTTTTAAACATTTGCAGCAAAAACAACTTTGTGTGGGTTTTTTTCATTTTATTCCACAGTAATAAAATTATTACTCAAATGTTACCCAAATGCAGGAGTATAACCCATATGCACTGTTGTGCCCAACCTGATAATTACCAACCGGAACAAAGTGTCTAGAAACATTTAATATAGTCTGAAATATGTAACCCGAGAGAATGGTGACGGCACCGAACACAAACACTTTTAAGAATAGACTAGCTTATAATTATCATTTGGCTGTAAATTATAATTATCGTTTGGCTGTAAGTTATAATTATCATTTGGCTGTAAATTGGAACTTTTGTATATTTATCAAATCTGAAATTCATCAATAACAAGATGTGGTAACATAGGAACATTACAACTTATGTACTATTTGTATAGTTGTATAGAGGCCTTATTAACGCAAAAAAAAAAATGTATAAATATCTCTTATATATTTTTATACATACTGTGTAATATTTTTGTTGGCATTTTTACTATCACCACATACATACATTATTCTGTAAGTTGAGAAAATTTGTCAGCCTGTCAATATGTCTAAATTATTTTTTCTTTTTTTGTCTCCGTTATGAAAAAATGGAGAAAAAAATCTGTTGATTTTGATGTATACATAGTTATCCATATATTTTCCCCACCTATAAGATTACCCAGGAAAAAGGCCTATTTGATTTGTCTTCTGCTCATTTTAGGTCAAAGTTCGGTGGGAGCCAGTCGGAGAGTGTGTTGATATCACAGCTACAGAGCGGGCCGGCTTTAGAGTTTGAGAGAAGCGACCCGGCACGCAGGATACGTTTACTGCTTAGCGAACTACTCTTTGTTATGTCACAAGTACGTTTACTGCTTAGCGAACTACTCTTTGTTATGTCACAAGTACGTTTACTGCTTAGCGAACTACTCTTTGTTATGTCACAAGTACGTTTACTGCTTAGCGAACTACTCTTTGTTATGTCACAAGTACGTTTACTGCTTAGCGAACTACTCTTTGTTATGTCACAAGTACGTTTACTGCTTAGCGAACTACTCTTTGTTATGTCACAAGTACGTTTACTGCTTAGCGAACTACTCTTTGTTATGTCACAAGTACGTTTACTGCTTAGCGAACTACTCTTTGTTATGTCACAAGTACGTTTACTGCTTAGCGAACTACTCTTTGTTATGTCACAAGTACGTTTCATTTCTTCTCTCATGGCAAAGAATAGTTCCACTCATTAATCTTTATTTACTTATTAATAAACACATTCACCCCTGAAAGTTCATAATGAACTATTCTAACCAATCAATTGGAAAAGTTCAAATGTGTTTTCAGGGGTGAATGAGTTAAGGTTACATGTATCTTTCTCAGATAATTTCTAATTACCAAGTACTGATCCATTCGAAAATGTAGTCTTTGGCAAATATTTTACTTCTGTATATACAAGTATTTGTTGGTTGAAACTAGTGCTATTCACAATCTAAAAATCTACGACACAAACTAGTATGTTGTTTGTTTCAGATAAAGGAAACTCGAGCAGAATTCTATCAAAAACAATCTGAGCTATTTGAAAGTCATGCTTACCTGGAGGAGTTGTCTGACGTATTGTGTATAGCTCAGGCAGGTAAGATCGTTACCTGTAAAAAGATCATAATTATACAGAGCTCTTTCTATCGGTAAATTTTATTTTTAATTGGCTACTAAAAATATGATGTGGTTATGCAATTGGCTAACAATATTTAAAAAATGGGAAAAAACTGTATGTTTGTCCCAGAAAACGATCTGTCTACTCACGTGTGTATTGTGGCTGGCACTGAGTGCGTGAGGTAATCAGGGCCGTCACAGATCAGCGCACGCTGTACGACTGTGAGCTGATGCTTTGTCTAAGTTGTTATGACAACGAGCAAGCTTCGGTTGACAACAGGTGTTATAGTTTGTGTTACATTAATGGACAGTGGCCGGGGTCAAGTTAATGGACAGTGGCCGGGGTCAAGTTAATGGACAGTGGCCGGGGTCAAGTTAATGAGATGACTCATGCATTGATGTTAAAAAACCAGAGTCTGACAAGCGAGTACACATGGTCTCGCACATATACATTTGTGGGAGTCATAAGGCGATCAGATCACCTCGTTCAAACACCGCGTCCATTACATATATTATACATATGTCAAACAGTCATAGCAGTGCTATTCATGTGATGTCAACGGAGTGTTCAAGATTAAATTCATATTCAGAGTATTAGTCTGTAGGCAGATTTTGCCCAAACTGTATTTTCATTGTAAATATTCACTATCCATGACATAAACCATTGGGCTATCGACCCCTAATAACTGACACTGACCCCTCCATCTTCCAATTTTCTTTTAATTTTACATAGAAGGGCCCCTCTTAATATTGATATTGACTTAAAATTGCTGAAAATGGCCCACTGCTCTCAAATTCCAGGATTTTTCCAGCAGTACCCCTGGTTAGTTAGACTTATGATCAGGGGAATCTGTTTCATTACCTTCTTCCATTGGCAATAATTTCATTGTCAAAATTCCATTATTTATGTTTATATATATATATATATACGGTACATTTTTATTAGCTCACCTGGCCCGAAGGGCCAAGGGCCAGGTGAGCTTATCCCATGGTGCAGCGTCCAGCGTCCGGCGTCCGTCAACTTTTTCCTTTAAAATGCTACTTGTCCTGAATGGCTTAGAGGATTTAAACCAAATTTGGTCAGGAGCATCATTGGCCAAAGGGTTCTCAGTTTTGTATAAACGGAGGGTATAACCCCCCTGGGGGCAGAGGGGCGGGGCCAAATAGGGGGAAAATAGGTAAATCTTTAAAAATCTTCTTCTTCTCAACCAATAGAAGGATTTTGACCAAATTTGTCCTAGAGCATCTTTGGACAAAGGAGACTCAAGTTTGTATAAACGGAGGGTGTGGCCCCTCTGGGGGCGGAGGGGCGGGGCCCAATAGGGGAAATAGAGGATTTTTTTTCTCCTGCTATACAAGTGAAGGGATTTTAACCAAATGCAGTCTGAAGCATGATTAGGGACAAAAGAATCAATTTTGTATAAACTGAGGTGTGTGGGCCTCCTTCTAAGGGCAGATGGGTGGGGCCCATTAGGGGAAATAGAGGAAAACATCAAATATCCTTCTCCTTTTGTACCGATGAAGGGATTTTGACCAAATTTGGTCTGGAGCATCATTGGCCAAAGGGTTCTCAGTTTTGTATGAACGGAGGGTATGGTCCCCCTGGGGGCAGAGGGACGGGGCCAAATAGGGGAAAATAGGTAAATCTTTAAAAATCTTCTCCTCAACCAATTGAAGGATTTTGACCAAATTTGTCCTAGAGCATCTTTGGACAAAGGAGACTCAAGTTTGTATAAACGGAGGGTGTGGGCCTTCTGGCGGCATAGGAGCGGGGCCCAATAGGGGAAATAGAGGATTTTTTTTCTCCTACTATACAAGTGAAGGGATTTAAACCAAATGCAGTCTGAAGCATGCTTAGGGAGAAAAGAATCAATTTTGTTTAAACTGAGGTGTGTGGATTCCCCTTCTTTGGGGCAGATTAGTGGGGCCCATTAGGGGAAATAGAGGAAAACATTAAAGATCCTTCTCCTTCTGTACCGTTGAAGGGATTTTAACCTAACCAAACTTGTTTTAGAGAATCTTTGGGCAAAGGGAATTGAATATTTATAAATGGAAGATGCAACTTTGTTACTTGTACTCCTTTGATAAACCTGAATGGTACTCAGCAGGTTTTAAATTGAAAAATAAAATACCAGGTGAGCTATTAAGGCCCCTGGGCCTCTTGTTTATTTTTTCTTTTTGCATGGAAAAGGTGATTTGATTGCTTTCACTATGATAATGTAGGATATTTTGAATTTGTGATTATTAATTTTGAGTTACATTTAAGGAAAAAAGTCAAAGGAACAATGTCCATTCATTACTTTTAGAAATAAGCTTTTAGTTGTAAAGCTTATTAGACATGTCTATGTGTACAAAGTACTCTTGTAAGTTATTAGCTTTTTCACCCCATATAACTTTAGTAGACTCTACCATGCATTGATATGGAGGAGTCCATTATGGTATACAGTGGTGAAAGGGTTAATCTGACACAATATTAAACATGTGGTCATGGTTACAGAGTTACCATCACTGTTGCCTGTTGTTGAGGTGGCTGAGGCACTACTTCATGTCCCAAACGGAGGCTGGCTTCTGTGTCGACTCATCAGCAACGCTCCAGATTCCTTCAAGGAAGGTATGTACTACAGGTATTTACTCCAGAGCTTCAACCACCCAATACCAGGTGGGCTATTATATCTCACGGACTTCATGATATTAGTCATTAAATCTAATTAAAAATTGAATCACTGCTGTTCTGAGATTTATAAAAATTTTGACGCTGTTAGATAACAATAAAAAGCAATGTTTTGCTGAAATTTTGGGGAAAAGGTAATTTTGACTCTAAAGTACCTAAGGTAAATCCTAAAGATAATAAAGTGTATTATTTCACCTCATCTGTATATATATATATATATAGCATGTCTACTTCCGTTACATTGATCACATGACAGGGAAATAAAACATCGTGTTTCCCTTGATAAATCATGTTTCACTCAGGCGTACGCCGCGTTGCCTCAGGGAAACAAAGAACTGTGTTTCTCTATAAGAATTTATAACACTTGGTGAGTACTGATGATTTCATTTGTTACAGTGTGTGGGAGTTTGGTAGGAAGAGGCGAGAGACAGGAAGAAGAAAGTCTAGGTGGGCGTCGACGGATGGAGCTTCTCCTTAGTCTGTGTGCCATGAACCCGGGGGAAGCATTCAATATCCGTGCCCTCTGTGTAAGTCTTCACACACCCCCACCCTGCACCACTTACCCCTATCCACAGCACCTAGCCAATCCCCCAACAGATAAATGTATTTAGTTTTTTGGCATTCCCTGTTATTTTAATGGACAGTTCTGGATAAACACTGTTAAACTCTTTTTCTCTGCTCAATTCATAGTAAAAAAAATACCTAAGTCACCTACACACTCTTTTTTTTTTAATACTGTATAGCGCTTTAAATTCAGGGGGTCAATATTTTGCGGTTTCGTATTCAGTACATATTCAAGGGGATTACATTTCGTTGTGTCATGCAAAGTATTTTGAGTGTCATCATTTAAGTGATAAACCTCGAAATACAGGTAAACCTTTTGAATACACTGATCAAGAGCGTCCGCCAGTTACTTCACTCGAAAGAAAATCAAATGAGTATGTACCTTTGTAGGAGTAAACTGTAATCAATTAATCACCTGCTGTGTACACATAGATATGTTATGGCCACTTATATGTAAGTGTTGTTTTTACATGGACTGCCGAGTTGTCCGGTGATAGTCTTATTTGAGTTCATTAAAGCTTGCATAACAGCGTTGGGTTATAAGTATCTTCAACATGTTGTGGTCCGTAAAAGTGGTTAACATTTTTGATAATTTCGCTGGTGTTTAGAATTCGTAGATATTAGTCAAAGTACCAATATAGCGAAATTAAAACCCCTGCGAAATATAACCCCTATACAGTACTTAAAACAAATAAATATTCTCAATTTTCTTTTTACTTTATCCTTAATGATTTTCAAATAAGTTCAGTTTTCGGATGTCTGGAAACTTTTGGTCTTTAATAAAATTGGATGAACTCTACCCTTTGACCTTTAACTTTGCAGGTTGAGCACTGTACCATGCCAGGGCTGGCTGTGTCACTGTCCTTGAAGATGAGTGAGCTCAACAAGTCTGCCACCATGGCAACCACAGACAGAACCAATGATATGATAGCTTTCATCAGCGGCCTGTTGCTTGGTAACGACATACCAGTGAGAAGCTGGTTCTCACTCTACATTAAGGCCGGTCAAAAGGTTAGAGGTCGTCCGCATATTTCTATTTTTAGCTTAAAATGTAAGGCGAGATATTGCCATTTATCTTTCAGCCTTTGCCTTTCTCTGTCTTTTTTGCAACTTTCAAATAATTTTGAAAGTTCTGGATTTTAATTTGATCAGATAAATTTAACTGGTTAAGCTGAACTTGGAGATGAAGCTTTCTTATTACATGTAATGAGTTCTGCGGAATAATACGTCAAGAATGAGCCACAATGATAACTTCATAACCCCAATGGTGTCTGACATGAAATAGCGCATATGTGGCATTGTGGTTGTGCGATTCATTTATTGATAAAGAGTAATGATGTTTGAAAATAGGTTTTCTCCCACAACCACTGTAGGTTTCCTCACTCCCACAACAACTGTAGGTTTCCTCACTCCCACAGCCACTGTAGGTTTCCTCACTCCCCCAACCACTGTAGGTTTCCTCACTTCCACAACCACTGTAGGTTTCCTCCCTCCCACAACCACTGTAGGTTTCCTCCCTCCCACAACCACTGTAGGTTTCCTCACGCCCACAACCACTGCAGGTTTCCTCACTCCCACAACCACTGGAGGTTTCCTCACTCCCACAACCACTATAGGTTTCCTCACTCCCACAACCCCTGTAGGTTTCCTCACTCCCACAACAACTGTAGGTTTCCTCACTCCCACAACCACTGTAGGTTTCCTCACTCATGACTCATTGGATAAACCAGTTTGTGGGTAACCCCCTGGACGAGTCACAGGTTCCAGGTATAAGCAGGGCAGTCACAAGGTACTGGATCGATTCTTTCATATATAATTAAAGTCAGTAAAAGGCCGAACAAATCAGAACTCTTCTTTGTTGGAGATACAACCCAGAGCATTGGGACATTCTTCCTTAGCAGTATTCTCCCTGTACAGTTTTGTGTATATACTTACCTCCCTTATCCTTTAAATATGTGTTGTATTATATCCAATGAAGCCACTTTGTATTTCAGAGAAAGCGTGAGCCCTCCACCTCCTCCCTCTACAGCCTCCGTCTGTGGCTCCTCGAACAACTCATCTCCATCCTCCCTGACAGTGGCACTTCCATGTCAGAGTCAAGTGTCATCCAAGCCAGTGCTTTTGTCCGCCTGTACTGCGCCTTGAAGGGCATGGCCACTCTAAGGTATATACACACAGGGGAACTTATATAATTTGGTTTAAGAAAATGTGTTAATCAAACTGAAAAAAATTAGATAGAAGCATACTTACATTAGCCCACTCAAATTTTTGCGGAACATAGGGGTTTGTCTCTGGGTTTGCCTCATAAGTGTATTATTGAATTAGTGGAGTTGCTGTACCTTTATATAGTTGATGAATTAGTGCAAATTTAATTTTCTGCTATAGAACATCATTCAAGTAATTACTATAGAACATAATGTATGTACGTATGCAGGTGAGTTGTCATTTACTGTCCCGTCAAATCTTGTATTTCATGATTCTGATAGCCTGTGCTACATGGTCAAATTTTAGCGGTGCACAGTAATTAGCGGACAAGATGTAACGCGAAAGCTGCTAAGATGATAATACTGCTAAAATTAGCAACATAAGACATTTACATAGGAAAAAGCCCCTGATATTTTAATATTTCTCTGATGACGTTTCAGCAGCTGGATTATCTTGGATCATTGATACAAATAAGAATTAATTATCCGACAGGTTCTCAGAAGAAGAGATGAAGTTGTTACTGCGTCTGGTGACCTCGCGACCCCCGCTGACTCCTGCTGGTGCTAGATTTGTCTCCCTTGGACTGTGTATGTTGATAGCATGTCCATACTTACTGGGGTAAGTACGTGACAAGGACCAAGTTTATCTTTTTTACCCTGCCACAAAGTAGGGCTGGAACGGGTAACCAGTTATGGATTAATTACTGCAGAGCGGGTCACACCTTGACCTATGACCTTTGATCTTGGCCTCAGTGACCTCAGTTAATTCATAACAGTTACAGGTCAGTTATTGAAGAAGAACTGCAGCAAGGATCACGTAACTTCACACATTATGTGCCATTTAATTATGATTACAGGATTTTGAACATTTTTGTTACCATGACGCCTGTGACCTTGCTTTAGGTTGCTTTCACACATTGGAACTGGTTCAGGTGTAAACAGAAACAAATGTAAGCCATGTTCCCAAAACATAAATGTGTTTCTCAGGAAAAATGAATTTTGACTGTAACTGAGTAATTGATTATCTTTCAGAAGCCCCGACCAAGAGAAGCAGGCCATTGAATGGATTAGGTGGCTTATGGGAGCCGAAAAAGAGTTTGAAATGTGAGTATTTAAATTGTGAACTGTTTGATGTTTGATGCTACGCCATCATAATTCGGAGTAAAAACTTTAAATTTATATAACAAGTAGGTAAGAGATGGAGCATCAACACCAGGGATTCCGTGAATCAGGAGGTTTTATTTGTTGACATGTTTCGGTAGGCTAGGCCTGCCGTCATCAGAACAATTTTACAGTGGCATTGTACGGTTCACAATATAATGGCATTATGATATTGTTATTTAGATCTCGTGATATAAACAAGTTTTGGAGGGAAATTGTGACTGCAAATTGGCGACGTTGTTATCGGCTACAATATAAACAGCGGTAAAAAGCAAGACTGGCTTGGTTTGTTCTGCAATGACAATGAAATACATTGTAACCCAAAGGACAATAGATATTTCTAATAAAATAACACAGGAACAATGTATCAATAAAGTCAATAAAGGGTTCAATTCAAATATTCTAAAATCCACAATGTACTGGGACAAGAATCCTTATGAGAGGTGGTATAACTGTAATATTGTATTTAAAGGGAGGGAACTCATGACTGTTCCTTCGGAGAGATGCTGTTTCTCATCGCTATACACTTTCACAACAATGCGACCCCTGCCATCGCTGATCTGGTGTGCAACACTCTGGGCATGAAGGTAAAGAAAACAGCTCATTGACTTCCTCATTATCGTTTTAAAACAAACGTTGTAAAGTGAACTTATGTCGGATGATACAGGATGTCCTTAAAGGCAGGTTTTGTTAAAGTCAGGTTTCAATGGTCTGCGATGAATTTAGAAATTTTGTAATTACAAATGTACTAGGAGAGCTAACTCAGAGATTGAAATGTCAGTTACAAACTGTTTTCCTATTCTTCTGATGCATATTTCACTTCATGTGTAAATATAAATTGTATGGCCTAAGCTTGAAACGAAATAAATTAAAAATTGTTCCACCACCACCATTTTAGCTGAACAAAAGTGTAAAACTCTAAACAAACATAATCATGTTTTATAATATACAGTTTAAAAAGGTATTGCACCAGTTTCACAGGGTCAAATTTCGAGATTTTGTTTCTGAACCAAAATGCAGGGTTTCAATTTTTCCCAACACAGGACAAGGTATATAGTCAATATGATATTTGTAAACATTTTCTTCATGTTGGTAGATATGGATTATGAAAAGATTCTTGTAACACAACCACTAAGTGTACTCTGCAAAGAGTAGCTACATTGAGTCATTTCAGTACATATATAACGACTAATTGTACATACAGCGTAGCCGGATCAACATCGATTTGTGGACAACTTGTACACAATTTACACCTTTGTGTGAAAACGCTTCACTGGTCATTTGTCTGATGAAGGTGGCAGAGTACATACTGTACTTGTCATCGAAACACCACCTAGAAACACTTACTGGTTGTGTTACAAGAATCTTTTCATAATTTATAATCAATAGTTATAAGAAGTACTCCATCAAAAGGGCGACATGTGTGTAGTTTATTATTCTGTGTATTTTCATCAAGCTGCTGATATAGTGAAAAGTAAGCACTGTACGTTGACATTCTGATAATTACTTCCTCAGAGTGCTGTAAAAGCCAATGCCTTGGCCCGAATGAGACAGATATTTACACAAGAGATCTTCACAGAACAGGTACCAGTAACTTTTATTTTCTCTTTAAGTATATTAAAAAAAAAAACTAAATTGTAAATCAAATTATTTTATAACTTCAGACTATAAAATACCATTTTACACGTATCTCTCATTGTACAAAATGTACATGCTCCTTTTCGTTTTAAGTATGGTGTATATACTAATTTCCAAAATGGCTGACTTTCCAAATTATTGACCTCTTCAGAATAAAAATTATTGAAAATCTTCTTTTCTATGTAATTGTACGCAAGACCTTGGAATCCCTATAACCCAAATAAAGATCATGTGGGTTTTTTTTAAGTGATTACCTCCCTTGCTGTGAAGTCTGTTTTGTGTTTACAGGTGATTACCTCCCTTGCTGTGAAGTCTCCGTTTTGTGTTTATAGGTGATTACCTCCCTTGCTGTGAAGTTTCCGTTTTGTGTTTATAGGTGATTACCTCCCTTGCTGTGAAGTCTCCGTTTTGTGTTTATAGGGGATTACCTCCCTTGCTGTAAAGTCTCCGTTTTGTGTTTAAAGGTGATTACCTCCCTTGCTGTGAAGTTTCCGTTTTGTGTTTATAGGTGATTACCTCCCTTGCTGTAAAGTCTCCGTTTTGTGTTTAAAGGTGATTACCTCCCTTGCTGTGAAGTTTCCGTTTTGTGTTTACAGGTGATTACCTCGCACGCTGTGAAGTCTCCATTTTGTGTTTACAGGTTATTACCTCGCACGCTGTGAAGGTTCCAGTCACAATCAAGCTAAACGCCAACATGACAGGCTACCTGCCCATCAACAGCGTGTACCAGCTTCTCCGGAGCCGAGCTTTTTCCAAACATAAGGTCAACATCAAGGTCAGTGTGCTGCTACCATTTTGTGTCATGGCAAAGTAAAAATAATGTTTTACCTTTTGTCCGTCATTGTCTTTTTAATGGCACTTTAACAAGCTGGGCTTACAGTTATTGTAAGTGGGTGAATTAAGGAAGTTGTCTTTAACTCATCAACTCTGACCTGTAAATTTTGAAAAAGACTAATCCCTGTCAAATATTTAGAATATTTAGCAAAAAAAAAGATGTAGAAATTAAAAAAAAAATAGAATATTTTTAACAATACTATTGATATTGAAATGTCTTGTATTTCATTTTTTCGATGTTTTATGATAATTAAGACTGTCATTTTTCACCAAATTTTCTGTTCAAGTTTGAATCAGGAAATTTTACTTGTTCAAATTTGTGTATTCATAAATATATCAAAATGCGTAAAAAACAACCACAACCATATTAGCTGATAAATTAGGCTTGGATATGTTGTGGGTGTGTGCTAAGTATATGTATGTTATACAAGATATTCCACAGTAAGTGATCAGCTGAGAAACACAAGGGAGAAAACTCCTATTAAAATAGTTTAGTTTCTTCACCCCCGTAGGATTGGATTTATCGTCAAATCCGGGTTAGTGCCTGCCCCCTACACCCTCTCCTGCCCCTTCTAGTCGAGGTCTACGTCAACTCCATCGTGGTCAAGAGTACCAAAACTGACCACCTCAATGAGCCAATGACCGATGAGGAAGTGCTGGCCATCTACCAAGAATCAGTGTTCAATACAGGAATCGATAAAATGGATACGGACGACGGGGGCGGGGACGGTACGGGAAGTCTGACGCCCCAGCTGTTAATGTTATATTACATTCTGCTGTACGAGGACACCATTCTTAACAGCATGAAGATCATTGGTAAGGAACCTCCGTACATCTACGACTTTATAAGTTCCATGTAGTGTTACTTTTCACGTTTATGTTAAATATAGGAATTCGTTAAAGTGTTGAATTGTGGTTTTGAAAGTGCTAGCTAAAACTGTTACCTGTCAATCAGTGTTTGTTGTCTGTTCAGTTCACTTTAATGTTAAGTCGTTGATCCTATTTCCACTGCTGAAGTAATTGTATACAATGGTATCGGGGTGTGGACAATACAGGTAACCACACAATCTACACATTGGGCAATTTTCCTGGTTATGTTCGGAATTTTTAAGCTGCCTTAATTTGGAGGAAAATAATGGCTTTTCAAGGCATGTAAATCTAAGTGTAAGTCCACAGTACGAGGCTTGTGTAAAACAAATCTCCTTTACACCTTGGCAGATTTAGTTTATAGAATTAGCAATAATAATTCAAGGTTCTTATATACCGCTTTATCACAACCTAGATCGTAGGACGTCTCAAAGCGGTTCACAAATTATTATCCTTGGTTATAGAGCCTTTGCAACCAGCCAATATCTTTCTCAACTCCCTGGCGAGCATACAGCGTGTGTTGCCATTTCGGCGCTCACAGCTAGCAATCTACAATTCTAGCACTGCCCAACCACTTACTCATATACAGCTAAGTAGACTAGAACAAGCAGAGTAAAGTATCTTGCTCAAAGATAAAACACAATGCCGTGCTGTGACTCGAACCCGCAACCCTTCTGTCATGAGCCGGTTGTCCTACCACTAGACTACCGTGCCTCCTAAATATAAGGAAGTTTATAATTACATCATAGTATATTAATATCAGTTTGACACTGGAGTATGTGTTTGGTAGTGATTGGCCAAGGACTAGAGGTCAAGAGATCACACTTGATAAATTTGGATATTTATGTGAGCCCCACTCACTTGTTATTTTTTGTGTATTTTCAGTGTCGTCACACAGAGAGGTGAAGTCTTACCCGGACAGATTACTGTCCCAGATCCCAATTAACTACCTGTTACAGCAGGCACAGACACAGCAGCACCAGTATGCTGGCCTCTTCTCACCGCTCCTCAGGTAACTTATCCCTGTAAAGTTCTTAAAACAAAAATATACAACATTTATATAGCGCCCTATATAATTTGTAAAATTACTCTAAAACGCTTTACAACATATGGATAATAGTAATAGTTATAATTGATAAACAAAAAAGGCAAACAAATCGCCATTATACATTAAGTAAGAAGGTAAGAAGATAAGAAAATAATCATCTCAATATGCATATAAATGAATATATAAAGGGTGGTATGTACATGACATCTGCGCAAAGAGCCTAAAATGCAGACGTGAATAGGGGGGTCTTTATATCATTCCTGGCCAGGGTTTTTGACTTTGTAATAGCAGATGGTAAGCTATTCCACAACGTGGCCGAAACCCTCCCAAAGCACCGGTTTTAAATTTGACCATTATAATCCTGCACAGACTCTGAATGATGCTTGCATTATTGTAACAGTAAAAAGTCCTTTGACGTTTGTCCGGCAATCTCCTCCTACATTTTTCGACCGATCTCTTTGAAACTTGGTATACATTATAACCATGAAATGAAGTTGTGTCTCCCTAAAAAGTATTTTGATTCGACAATTTTTGCAAAAGTAATTGCCCTTTGTTTATTTCAGTGTTTTATTTTTGTCCGGCAATCTCCTCCTACATTTTTCAACGGATCTCTTTGAAACTTGGTATACATTATAATCATGATATGAAGTTGTGTCTCCCTTAAAAGAATTTTGATTCAACGAATTTTGCAAAAGTTATTGCCCTTTGTTCATTTCAGTATTTGATTTTTTGTCCGGAGATTTTCTCCTACATTTTTTATAGCATGTCAGCTAACCACTCTTAGAATGATGCAGAGAGATCTTATTTCAATGTAATAAAGTATATAACACTATATGGCATTCGACGGGCGTATATTGTTCCGCCCCGTGGTACTCTTGTTTCTGTAAAAATGTTCTGAGAAAGCCCAAAAACATTTCATACTCGGCTCCTCCTAATCGACTTGTCATCAAAGGTTACTGGCAGCTACCGATTTCTGTACCCTCATCTGTGTGCGGGGGAGAACCGGTATTTTGTCCTTAAAAAGTCTGTAAATAGTTATTCAAAATCTTGTACAAACCCAGTTTGACTTTTGTCTTGTTGTGAAAATACCAGTATAAACTTTATTATAAACGTTATTTATTTTACAAACATTTGGACAGGAATTTGTTCAACTTATATTCAATCACTAATATATTGTTGGCCTGGAGGAAAGTGCATACAGCCCGTATTACAGGTTCTTAATGTCAGACGGAAATGGAGTACCCGAGGAAACCAACGTGGTCAGGTAGGTGACCCCATGCCTTTTCACGTCCGACCTGGGAATTGAACCCTGGCTGTCTTGGTGAAAGGACGGGTGTGCTATCCACTGCGCCACCTAGCTAGCCTAGTCTTGTTGTTACAGACTACTGGTGACTCACTACCCCCATCTGTGTGTTGTAGAATAATTCCGTACAAACTCTGTTGGACATTCGTCTTGCTGTTACAGGTTTCTGGTGACTCACTACCCCCATCTGTGTGCTGTAGAGAAATTATGTACAAACTCTGTTGGACACTTGTTGTTACAGGTTACTAGTGACTCACTACCCCCATCTGTGTGCTGTGGAAGACTGGCTTCAGGAGATCATGGTACAAGACCGACATCATAAAGAGTGGTCTCCCCTTAGTCAGACTAACTGTACTGTAGCATCTCTCAATGCAGGTATGTGGTGCAGGGTAACATTTATTTACTGTGTTTTGTTTATGCGTCGTCTTTTAAACGACATTGGCAGAACAGCCCTATTTAAATAAAATAGGCGCCAATAATTAACCGTAGTCATTTGAGCGTTTGATGCAGGTGTATTCTCCATGTTATCCTAAGCTTAGCAACAAGACTCTCATTGAACAAGGTTAACCTATAATGTCATAAACAAACCATGTGTTACGTCATGAGAGTTTTTGCTTTCATACTCAAATGAAATGCCTTTCTGCTGGAAATGATCATAAAAATGGTTGCAGCGCAAATGTAAACATAAGGGAATGAGAGATTGTGTTTTTTATTCACCGACACATATGATAAATTGATTGTATTGTATTTTTTGTCACACACAATTCAGAAATGGTGGAGCATGTGTTATCAACATGATTGAAATATGATGTCACATTTAATTTGCGAACACATGTGATTGAGATCTGTGTGTGTTATTTTCAGCCCTACAGGAGGTGGAATCTCATCCGACTAACGCAGTGGTCCAGCTTCAGGCTCTACTCAGGAAGACGACAGCCAATCTGCTGCCATTCTCCGATACACTAGTGGCAAGCCTGCCGGTGTTACTCAGTCCCGGGGTTCCAAGGCGTGTCCAGGATATGGTGAAAACTGCCTGGTTTAAACTACACACAATCAGTCCACGAATGTAAGTCTTGTTTACCTGAACTCAAGGGGTATCTGCTTAATCAAACTTAATATGTTACCCTTTATTACCTGTTATAAGCCCAGGATGGCGGAAATGAGTACTTGCCCTTTTTCTTTTTGTCTTGCCGCGGAAGGTGTCGCTTTTACGGTGGCTTTAACGTTAAGTTTTTGCGTTTAACTTAGTTTCACTGAAACTAAAGTGCTAAACCAACCAAACTTGGACCATAGATGCATCTTAAGTGGTGCATCTCAACCCATGAATCAAATGCTGGATGCGGCCTACCTTTCATGGTCCATTGACTTTGTCAGCATCTTCATCAACATAAGTTTTTGTGTTTAAGTTAGTTTATGGTTCGCACAGGTCTTGAAAAACCCTTGAATTTGATGTCTGTCTTGAAAAAACCTTGAAAATGACTGTAAGCCTTGAAAACCCCTTGAAAATCAATGGGAGTCCTTGAAAAACCCTTGAATATCAGAGAAGTTAGTTGGGTATCCGTTTCTGTCATGTTAAATCAGTATTTTGTAAACATTCGTCCCAAACAATAATTATTTTTAATACAGATTGATCGTCAAATTGCAGATCGTAATTTTTAATAATTCTGGAAAATATATACCGATGAAGTTTCCAGTTTTACTTTTTCAATTCGTATCATTACTGCATTTGAATTGATTAAGTCTCGTAGTCAAAGCGCTAAAGTGACAGACGGTCATGCACATTAAGAGAATCGTTAACAGGAGGGGAACACGAACGCAACAACTGCGATGGGGAAGTGTGTTTTTTACTGCAAATGGCTTGACGATCGCAGATTATTTTTGGTGAGGGAGTTCAAGGATGATAGGACTCCTGCTTTGTGCTCGCTGTATAACCAATCTAATTAAAATTATATCTTCACATCGCTCTCGTTTACTGATATGTCGCATTGAAGATCTAACAACATCCCGTAGATGGTCATGTTCAGGCGACCTTTGCATTAACCAATCAGATGAGAGCTTACGCATTTCTGTAAGTGATGATGTAATGATTTCGGAACACACTTGCTATGATAAAAGACCGAGAGGTGTCAAATGAGCATCGAAAATGGCTGCGCCCATGACACCACGCCGTGTCTATCTACAAGACAACGTTTGTACAATTTGTGGATTTTGCTTTGAAATAAGAGAGACTTCCTCTTCTGGTGATGTTGTCGTTAAAAAGTTTAACAACCTGAAACTAAAATTAACCAATGACAGGCTTCGCAATATTCAAACTATCACTGGACCAGACGAAAAAGTGGATTTTGGGCTACGAGGTGTCTGCATTAAACGCTACAGGTCCTGCTTTCTGATTGGTTGAAAGAAAGAGTTATGTCGCGTTTTGATTGGCTTGTTATAAATACGATAATGTATTCATGTTGACCTCTGACGTGACCCTCTATGGGATGTTGTTAGATCTTCAACGCGACATATCAGTAAACGGGAGCGATGTGAAGATATAATTTTAATTAGATTGCTGTATAACCAAATTATCGATCTGGGCAAGATTAAGGAATACGCGCTTACATCACATGAAAAGTCATAAACACGTGAAAATTTTTCAGGGATCGCTTCGACTCAGCCTTTGACACTTTTATACCAAACCCTCTACTTCAACGGCAAGTACATCGAGACCTACCTTGACTGTTCCTAATCCAAATCCAAACACGGATGCTAATGACTTTCCTTCAATTCCAGCCCCTCAAGGCCTTGTTGTTCATTAAAATTGTTTGTTTATTTTGCAATATAAATGAGCCCTTGAACTTTCAAAATTTGTCTTGAAAAACCCTTGAAAAGTCCCTAAATTTTGAGGTCAAAAGTTTGTATGAACCATGTAGTTTCATTGATGGTCAAAGCATCAGTTGTGTGTCTGTTTGCCATCTTATGTTATTCAGGCTTTGTGTTTTACCAGTTGTGTGTCTGTATGACATCTTATGTTATTCAGGCTTTGAGTTTTACCAGTTGTGTGTCTGTATGCCATCTTATGTTATTCAGGCTTTGTGTTTTACCAGTTGTGTGTCTGTATGACATCTTATGTTATTCAGGCCTTGTGTTTTACCAGTTGTGTGTCTGTTTGCCATCTTATGTTATTCAGGCTTTGTGTTTTACCAGTTGTGTGTCTGTATGACATCTTATGTTATTCAGGCTTTGTGTTTTACCAGTTGTATGTCTGTATGACATCTTATGTTATTCAGGCTTTGTGTTTTACCAGTTGTATGTCTGTATGACATCTTATGTTATTCAGGCTTTGTGTTTTACCAGTTGTATGTCTGTATGACATCTTATGTTATTCAGGCTTTGTGTTTTACCAGTTGTATGTCTGTATGACATCTTATGTTATTCAGGCTTTGTGTTTTACCAGTTGTATGTCTGTATGACATCTTATGTTATTCAGGCTTTGTGTTTTACCAGTTGTATGTCTGTATGACATCTTATGTTATTCAGGCTTTGTGTTTTACCAGTTGTATGTCTGTATGACATCTTATGTTATTCAGGCTTTGTGTTTTACCAGTTGTATGTCTGTATGACATCTTATGTTATTCAGGCTTTGTGTTTTAAAGGAACTTGAGTACAGTCCTCAAACTTTATATGCGAGTATATCTTCAGGGGTATATATCACACCATAGCATTGTATATAGGTCACTGTGACCTATATTTTCCACTTCAGTCACATTGGACAGTCTTTGGATTTAGCTCCATTCCTTTGGTTAGATGTTCGTTTATCTACGTTTCCATCAAAGCCGAATTGATGTATACTTAACAGGCAGTTTTTAGTTTGTTCTTTATATTTGTGACAGGTTGCGTTTGGCGACGGTGAACGCCATGACATCAATTGATGGGAAGTTTACTCCGAATAGATTCACCTACACGGAAAATGATATCACTGTAGATCCTTTCATTGTACTGAGGTGTAGCCCTAAGGTATTTAGGTAAGTATGGTACCGAGGTGTAGCCCTAAGGTATTTAGGTAAGTATGGTACTGAGGTGTATCCCTAAGGTATTTCGGTTAGTATGGTACCGAGGTGTAGCCCTAAGGTATTTAGGTAAGTATGGTACCGAGGTGTAGTCCAAAGGCATTTAGGTAAGTATGGTACCGAGGTGTAGCCCTAAGGTATTTAGGTAAGTATGGTACCGAGGTGTCCCCTTGCTAAAAAATTGAGTAATAAAGATATTCCTGATTTTTACTTCATTTTGTGAAAAAAAAGAGTACTTATATTATAACACTGCTAATATTCTATTCATGAATCAAAATCGAAATTAAAACTACAAATGTAATAAATTTAAATCCAAGTCAAAATTTTACCTGAACAAGATCAAAGAAATGTCCCGCGGTCATTTTAACACCTTCACAGACATGTTTCGGTCTCCTGCTGGTGACCATGTTGACACAACCCAGTATGACAAATAGGCCAGGGAAGCAGCCTGTTTTCTGCTGTAAAACTAGGCAAAAATAGGTGTCTATTTTTCTATTTGTCAATTTTTCTAGCTGTCAATCAACAGATCGTTGTTGATGCTTTGTTCAGAAGTAAACATGCTATGTCATGCAGTTTAATTGTGTATGTCACAGGTGTCCGCCTATCCTTGAAGTAATGTTACGGGTCCTGGACGCCTACGTCCAGGGATGTCGAGTCTACCTACAAAATCACATGACCACCAATCCAATTCTCGATCATGCAAGTCACAATGAGACGGAACGACGCGACCTAAAGAATGCACTCATCGCTGCGCAGGAGAGCGCTGTGGTACAGATACTGCTCGAGTGCTGTCTCTCTCTACCGGAGGAACAGGTATGGCCAGTAATATTCTGAAAAGAACTGCAATTGTGAATTTAATTTCTTATGACCTTCTTTGTTCCAACAGTCAAACTTCTATAAATCGAACTTCAAAGATTGAAATTTCTCATATGTATCGAACTTACGGCTAAGTCTGGATATTTTCCCATATATTATAACACTACTAATATTTTATTCATGAATCAAAATCGAAATTACAACTAATAAATTTAAATCCAAGTCAAAAATTTACCTGTACAAGTTCAAAGAAATGTCCCGCGGTCATTTTAACACCTTCACAGACATGTTTTGGTCTCCAGTGAGAAGTGCTGGTGACCATGTTGACACAGCCTGGTATTAATTATTTCCAGGTAATAAATTGACACTGATTAATTCAGTATTGTTTTCTTCAGACAGCATTATATACCATTTTAGTTAGAGTTTTCCTAAGCTCCATTACACTTACAGTCATCAAACATGTGTCAAAAATCTTCATTTCTATGTTATGACTTTTTGTTAACTCATTCACCCCTGAAATTTCATAATGAACTATTCCAACCTTTGATTTGGAAGAGTTCAAATGTGTCTTCAGGGTTGAATGAGTTAAATTCCAATTGTTTAGTTAGTCTCTATATTAAGCTCTACTTCCATTGAAGTGTGAGATGGGGCAAATGTATGAGGGGCAGTTGTGACCAAGTGGTTAAGTCATCTGACATTCTGCTACCACTAGCCTTCCACCACTGGGTCACGGGGTCGCTGTGACCAAGTGGTTAAGTCATCTGACATTCTGCTCCCACTAGCCTTCCACCACTGGGTCACGGGGTCGCTGTGACCAAGTGGTTAAGTCATCTGACATTCTGCTACCACTAGCCTTCCACCACTGGCTAGCGTGGTTCTATACATACGTGGGGCAGTCGCCAGGTATTGGCCTTAGATCAGTGTTTTTTCTCCGGGATCTCCGACTTTCCTCCACCACCAAAACCTGGCACGTCCTTAAATGACAATAGCTGTTAATAGGACGTAAAACACAAACAAACAAAACCAAGCATAAGTATGCTGTAAAAAACATTTTCTAGTAGCTGTTACTATAACAATACTGTATTCTGGGAAACTTTTGCTCTGTCTAACCTTTGCCCTACATCGGTATTCAACCAGTGCTAATTTTTGCCCTTGACATTTGATTGCTTCGTTTATTATGTTATTTACTTATAGTTGCTATAATGATAAATTTGCTCTCATTACAGAGAGCAAAAAGGCAAAAAATAAACTGTGGGAAAAACTTCCTTTTATAAAGTTAATGGTTAATTTGCGTGTCAATGACTGGCCCAAAGTGTGTTGTCATTTTTTCTACTGTATACATCAATAATGATGCAGGGAAAACTGAATTATGAGAATTTTGGACAAAGGAATGGAATAAGCAATGAATGTTTAAGCAACCTGTTGTTATGGTCCTATAACACACATAACTGTTAATGACAAACTTGACAAAGCTTGGCAGGACTTTATGTAATGTAAGTTTGTCATCAATAGAAATGTGTGTTATACGACCATAACAATACTTGCTAAAATATTCATTATTTATATTAACATTTTGAAAGAGTAGTTGCGCTTTATTAAGTTATTTCTAATAGTTCTTTGAACTGATAATTAAGTGTTGACAACAATGAAATTGATGACGTCACAATAGAGATTGATGACGTTACAATAGCAAATGTTGTTATAGTCTCATAACAACATTTGCCTTCTCAATGCATTCAGTGGAAGGATACAGAGCAAATGGAAATATTGATGTTTGTCTGTCTTATCCTTGCAGGGGGACCAAGGTTTGCTCAACAATCGACGCGAGGTCCAGTGTATCGTCTGTCCATTCATCCATCAGATGTTCATCTCCGACCCGAACCTGGCGAAGCTCGTACATTTCCAAGTGAGTCACGTACCCCCACAGTGATAGCACATTAGATTGCACCAGCATTCCCTCCCTCCCCCACCCACTCACAATTACCAATGTTAGAATTTGTGAAGACAACATTTAGTCTGTTTTTCCTGATTATTGATATGATAATTTCATGCTTCTGTGGAAAGTTATTAAAACAATGGTATAATGTCAACAAAGATAATCTACAAAGAAGTTTATGTTGGTTGGTCTTCATTTATAGTCCAAATATACAGATATTTTAAAATAAATTTCCTGGGAAAACTTTGAGGTAAAGGTCATTACATGAGACAAAATTATGTTACGTGTTATTTCTGTTTTAACATGTCATATGAAATGTCAAGTGTGCTCTTAGAAGCTTGAGGTAGAGTGTAGGAAATATGGTCAGGGTGTTATAGACCCCGTCAATTTTACAGTGAACTGGGGATATTACAGCGATGAGACAATAAAACAATGATTTTGTATTACAGGGTTACAGCGATGAGACTATAAAACAATGATTTTGTATAACAGGGTTACAGCGATGAGGTAATAAAACAATGATTTTGTTATACAGGGTTACAGCGATGAGACTATAAAACAATGATTTTGTATTACAGGGTTACAGCGATGAGACAATAAAACAATGATTTTGTTATACAGGGTTATAGCGATGAGACTAAAACAATGATTTTGTATTACAGGGTTACAGCGATGAGACAATAATCAATGATTTTGTATTACAGGGTTACAGCGATGAGACTATAAAACAATGATTTTGTATTACAGGGTTACAGTGATGAGATTCTACCTGTAGCGGTGGCCGGGATTCCTTCCATGCACATATGTTTGGACTTCGTACCAGAACTTCTCAGTCAGCCTCAGATAGAAAAACAGGTAAATACACAGGCTAAGGAACATTTGGGTGTAAATATACAGGCTTAGGAACATTTGGATGTAAATATACAGGCTTAGGAACATTTGGGTGTAAATATACAGGCTTAAGAACATTTGGGTGTAAATATACAGGCTTAGGAACATTTGGATGTAAATATACAGGCTTAGGAACATTTGGATGTAAATATACAGGCTTAGGAACATTTGGGTGTACATATACAGGCTAAGGAACATTTGGATGTAAATATACAGGCTTAGGAACATTTGGATGTAAATATACAGGCTTAGGAACATTTGGGGGTAAATATACAGGCTTAGAAACATTTGGGTGTAAATATACAGGCTCAGGAACATTTGGGTGTAAATATACCCTGGTTTAGCTGAAGATTTTATTTTATTTCAACAGAACTAGAACAGAGATATCTCTGTCAATACAGAGGCAGTGGTAGATTGGTTGACAACAAATCGTACGACTTCCGACAGTTTTATCTGGTGTGTGGACGTGTCTTAATTGTCTGGAGCTTGACAAAAGTATCAATTGATACCAAAACGTAACATTATACTAAAGCAATGATTTGTGACATATTAACAATCTCTCATGGTAGTGTTTTTGTGTTTTACATTTTACTGTTTATTGTATTTAGTTGTATTACTGTATTATATATATTGCTGTATATTTTATATATTACTGTATTTTATATATTGCTGTATATTTTGTATATTGCTGTATATTTTATATATTGCTGTATATTTTATATATTGCTGTATTTTGTATATTACTGTGTTGAATATATTGCTGTATATTTTATATATTGCTGTATTTTTAGATCTTTGCCATCAAGCTGATGTCTCACCTTTGCTGTCACTATGCACTGCCCAAGACTCTGAGCGTGGCCAAGCTAGTGATGAACGTCATGTTTACAATGATTGAAGGTAAGCTACTACGAATTACACTTGCATACATTCCCCTGGAATATGACAAAATCAAAGGCACGAGGGTAGCTATTTGATTGGTTTCTGGTAAAATAAACCTGACCAATTGCTAGGTTTGTTTCTGTCCTTTAAATATTACAAATGAGTGACAGGTGACTTCGAAGCCAGTATCCCTTTGTTGATGATATCAGTTATAACCCCACCATATTCCTGCTACTCAAAAGTTATTCTCATTGTATTTTTTATAATATTATAATATCCCAGCTGTATTCCTGTAACAAAATTCTTGCTGTAATACTGCTGTATCCTGTAATATTGCAGTATCCATTTTTCAGTGCTTGACGGTCAGTGTCGTGCCAAGTTTCTGGTGGAGACTGTTCCGTGCCTGGTGCGAGTTTGCCAGGCGTTCCCTCCGCTGTGTGAGGACGCAACCACTCTCCTCGGACAAGTTGGACGTATCTGTATTTCACACCTAACCTCCTCCAGCAACGTCCTGGGCTCGGAGCTTATTGACCCCGATAACAAGTCGGGCCCCGCTTCCAATAGCCAAAGGGAAGGTCCTCAGGCCGGGCTCACAGCCCAGTATCAAAGACTGTACAAAACTATACAGACCACATTCTCCGGCCTGGTCAGGAAAGCACTGGTCACTCGCAACATCTACTCCTGATGGTCACTCACACCAGTCACTCACCACATCTCACAACGGTCATTATTCATCATTTTTACACATCAGCGACACTCTTGTTATATATATGTATTTCTTTATACAAATTGTTGAAAATAAAAACTGATAACTATTTCTGGTGTTATACTTTTTGTCAGTGTGTAACTTAACACCCGTTTTGACTCTGTTCACCCACATATTACATTGTACAAAATATGAAACGACCCTGCTACAGTGAAACCTGCCTAATCTGACATACTGTGAGGAAGTAACAATGTTTAATAATGTAGAGTATAGATACTTTTCTCTTTAATTTCCCAGTACAGACTTATTCAAATAGCTTGGTGATATTGATTCAAACACAGTTAGTAAGCTTGGATCATAAAGGTATTTTGTCCTTTTGTTGATTCAAATAATCATACAATGTAATAAATTAAAATCTTGTATGGCAAATATGTTGTTGGAAGAACAATTTTCGGAGATAAATATTAAAAAAAATATCATGTTTTAAACAGTAACTTTCTGGACTACAATTTACAATGTAATGTACATTAATTTGAAATTTATGAGGTTTTTCAAGAACAAAATTCATTAAAGGGGAAGGATCTGTTATCCAGTTTTGATATAATTTTATATGGTAATTTTTAGCCTGGCTGTTTCACATTGGTTTTACAATACTGGTACCTCCTGTACAGGTTTACAACCAGCTTTAATCTCAATCGGATTAAATTGATCTGTTAAATGGCTTTGTTTAACTTCGTACTATGCCTAATGAAGTTAGCGAAGCCATTTAACAGATTATTTTAACCCTTTCACCCCTTTGTAACTTTAGTGAACTCTTCCATGCTTTGATCTGGATGAGTCCATTATTATCTACAGTGGTGATAGGGTTAAATAGAATGCAGCAAACCTGTTCTATGTTTTGATAAGCTAAAATCTTAAGTTACCAGATACAGTATATTTCTTACTAAACAATCAAGCGGAAAAAAAATGAAAGAAAATGGAATGAAATATTTCACAAATCCTAGCTTTCTTATTTTCAAAAATAGTGTATTTCATTAATGTGTTTATTGATGGATCACAAGTAAAAGGAGGTAAGCAGATCTAGACTACATTCAGAAAGTTCAAACAGAATATGGAATTACAAAGAAATAGAATTGTAAGCAGAAATCAGACTGAATATAGAGATGCATGTGCCCTCCCTGAAAATATCATGGTAAGCATGGTGCTTGGTAGACATACAATATAAATACATATGATATGGAAATAGAAAAAGGGCAATAACTCTGTAAATGATCATGGTATAATGTATTCTGAATATTCATGAAACCGTTCTCATGCTCAAACTCAGACTCTGTGCTCAGGCCGAATTTCATGTTCTGTTTCACTGTCTCAAAAACAGTTGTAGTTATTTTATCTATATTGAAGTAACTCATGTGAGCATTAAGGCCCGTTAGGCCTCTTGCTTTACAAGTCGGATGATTTAATCGAGTAACAAGAAAGTTGGTTTGAACTAAAAATCCATGGTTGATGCTGAGCACGATTTCATGATTATAATACTAATAATAATAATTTGATCATGAGGTTCTTTTATACCGCTTTATCACTATCTAGTTCGTAGGTCGTCTCAAAGTGGTTCACAAATTATTATCCGTGGTTATAGGGCATTTGCAACCAGCCAATATCTTTGTCAACTCCCTGGGGAGCATACAGCCAGAGATGCCATTTCAGCACTCGCAGCTAGCATTCAACAATCTAGCACTGCCCAACCATGTACTCATTTACAGCGGAGTAGACTGGAACAAGCGAAGTTAAGTATCTTGCTTAAAGATACAACACAGTCCGTGCCGCAACTCGAACCTGCAACCCTTTGGTCAGGAGCCCGGCGTCCTACCACTAGACTTGCGTGCATTTGTTATTAGTTAGGTCTGCTAAGTTTCCATGAAATCAAATGGAAATGGAGGGACTCTTCTGTGCTGTCAAGTTTGGTGTCCACAGACCAATGGAAGACTTGATTCCTATAGTATGCCCTCACTCACTTCCTCTTAAACTGTATTGTAGGGTTTAACCCTTTCACCACTGTAGACCATAATGGACTCATCCATATCAATGATTGGTAGAGTCTACTAAAGTTACATAGGGGTGAAAGGGTTGAGAAGATTTGTAGATGAAGAATAAATACAAGAATAAATACCAAACGCACAATACTATCTGATTATCCTTTTCAAAGCTATTTCTTGTTCAAAATTGAATGACAACACAATAAATCACTTTGTTCTGAAAATCTTTATTTTAAAGAGACAAATAAATATCGACATAAATAAAACAGAAAACTGATATAAAAATTATAGAGAATATTATATTAAACACAGGATTAAAAGGACTTGGCTGGATGAAATTTTTCTGCTTAATAAAAATTTCTGAACAATAAAAACGGGTACAGGTAACTTTATACATAAGAAGTGGCCCTTTGGCCTGAAGAGTTTATACATTAGAAGTGGCCCTTTGGCCTGAAGAGTTTATGAGACCTAAGGAGCCAGGAATGTATTTAAAATTTTATCAACATATTGAAAATACATTAAAATGATTTGAAAACTTCATTATTTTATGAATTAAATACTGTAGTAATGTTCTAATTCACAAAACAGGAGGTATCACGTTACATGTACATTACACACTGGACCCGTCATTTATGTTAGAGTTACCTCCCTTGTTTGTTTTAATTTGCATTGTATTATTTAAAATAGTTTTGGGAATTGGAAGAAAAATCATAATACTCAACCATTAATGAAGGTTTGTGATTTAATTGAAATATCTAAACTTTGATAAAACTATTTGAAATATGGCACTGTCATGTTGATGTTAATTACTGTGTTTACAAGGAATGACTACCTCAGTTAAACTGTTTCCTATACACTTCCATTCTTACTTAAAGTTTAAATATTTCTTACCTAAGAGCATTAAGACCTCGTAACCATTACTAAATTAGTATTTTACACTAACAATCAACAGAATTGATAGAAAACCAAGTGCAATTATTACAACTGGCTGAGTGATTACATAGTTTCATAAACTTTCAATTGGAATCAACTGTTTAATCAATCAAATTTAAATCATAAACAATTATCTGAAAAAATCTTTTCATAAATACCGGATTTTAATTTTCATTAATTCATACATTCTGGACAGACATGTACCTATCAAATAAGTCATAAATTAGTTGACAAAGTCAGAATAATCAGTCAACACAGTATTTTACAGATGTTTGAGTGAGGAACTCTCTAAGAATTATCAGTCAAAACAGTATTTTACAGATGTTTAAGTGAGGAACTCTCTAAGAATTATCAGTCAAAACAGTATTTTACAGATGTTTAAGTGAGGAACTCTCTAAGAATTATCAGTCAAAACAGTATTTTACAGATGTTTGAGTGAGGAACTCTCTAGGAATAATCAGTCAAAACAGTATTTTACAGATGTTTAAGTGAGGAACTCTCTAAGAATAGAAGAATAGAACAGATGTATACAATGTTCTGTGATAATAATCATAGCATTAATATATATCATAACATATATATTCACAACTGCAGCTGAGATGCTGGAGATGTCTACCAAGTTTAAAGGAAATCCGATTAAAACTACAAAATTACAGTGCCTTTGAAGAATAAAACCGACAATAACTGAATAAAAATTCCTTTCAACACTGAAAGACAGCTAGACTCCATTATATACTCCCTCTTCACGAAATAATACGATGCAGCGTGTATGATTGATAAAATTTGATAAATAAAATATTTGCATATAAGATTTAAATACAAGTAAAGGCAAACTAAGATGTCATTGTTGTCAGTGGATATAGGCACATCCTATGTAAAGCAGTGAGTTTTAATATCTAATTCATGTGAGCGGAACCAATCCTACAATCACTCAGAAACTAAAACCTAAGATGTTTCCTCAAAAATAAAAAATAAATTCTTCTAAAAATCAAAAGCAAACTGTTTTTTCAACAGGGTGTACGATATGAGAACTATTGTTTGTTTGTTTCAATCCACCAGAGGGCGCCACACTCCTCTAATACAATCCACCAGAGGGCGTCACACTCCTCAGATACAATCCACCAGAGGGGGGCCACACTCCTCAAATAGAATCCACCAGAGGGGGGCCACACTCCTCAGATACAATCCACCAGAGGGCGTCACACTCCTCAGGTACAATCCACCAGAGGGTGTCACACTCCTCAGATACAATCCACCAGGGGGCACCACGCTCTATAAATAATTGCTCCTCCACTGGCGTGCTATACTTCTTTATCAATGGATCTAGTCCACTAAGGGGCACAACTCTTCATTTATACAATCCACCAGGGATCGTCAATCTTCACAGATTTGATCCACAAGGGGAACCATCTCCATAGATACACTCCACAAGGGGGCACCAGTCTCCAAAGATTCAATCCACTAGAGGGTAGGCATCACACTCCAGAGATACAATTCACAAGGGGGCATAACTCTTGAAAGATATAATCCACATATAGGAGGTGTCACTCTCCACAGATACAAGCTACTCGTGGGGGTGTCACACTCCATAGATACAATCCACAAAGGGCCCCCACTGTCGATCCACAGATAGATTCCACAAGATACAATCCACATGGGAACCAAATTCGACAGATAAAATCCACAGGGGAGTGTCATACTCAATAAATACAATCCAATAGTGCATATCACAGAGCTTGGATGCTATCCACCAGGGGGCGCCACATCACGATACAGATGACCGTACTTGACTGAATCGCATTGGTTTTGCCCTGAAATTAAAATGAATATTTTTTTCTAAAAACAATGAATTTGCAATAGAATAATCATTGATTTGCAGTTATTGTTGACGAAAACAATATTTCCCATTGTCTTATCATAAAACTCAGTAAAAATCTTCATCCACGACAAACTAATTAAGTATTTCAAGGTCAACAATAACAGACTGATAAGGTTAGTCAAGGTCTACATAAAAAATTAAATCTGATGTGAGTCAACCATAACAATTTAATTAGATGTGTTAGGGTAAAATTCAACCATAACAATTTAATTAGATGTGTTAGGGTAAAATTCAACCATAACAATTTAATTAGACGTGTTACAGTAAAAGTCAACCATAACAATTTAATTAGACGTGTTACGGTAAAATTCAACCATAACAATTTAATTAGACGTGTTACGGTAAAATTCAACCATAACAATTTAATTAGACGTGTTACGGTAAAATTCAACCATAACAATTTAATTAGATGTGTTATGGTAAAAGAAGGTGGCCATGGTCAGCAGTAATAGATTAAGGCCAACCACAATAGGCCAATTAGGATTTTCAAGGTCAAAGTCAATCAAAACAGAATAAGTAGGTCAAGGTCACCCATATTTATAAATACATTAGGTAGGGTAAAGATAAACTATAAAATACTTAAGTGGTATGTCAAGGTCAGCTTTAACTGACTTATGAATCTAACGAATGAATTGGTAAAGGTGATTGACCAATCAAGTGTTGCAAAGTCAACCAATAGAAATGTATGAGGTACACTTAAGTCAAATATACTAATAATATGGGTCAAGGTCACGGACAACTATTACAAACTGATAACATTACAGACCTACGACAAAGGCCAACCATTATAGATTTAAGTGTATCGTCAAGGTCACAGACAACTATTACAAACTGATAACATTACAGACTTATGACAAAGGTCAACCATTATAGATTTAAGTGTATCGTCAAGGTCACAGATTTTTTTTTATTGTATAACCATATACAGGCTAATTGATGTGTTTAATAAGAACTTGAAAAAACATTCAGTAAATGTTTTTAAAAATTGCCTCGACAGATGGTGTGTGACCAACAAATTAGCTCACTGGTAAATTAGGGAATAAATCTACCCAGAATGGAAGAAATTAGATTTCATAAACACGATGTTGAAAAAGAAATTGCATATTATAATGTATTCTGTAATTTCCTGTTTACTTATGGATATGCTTTTCACAAAATTCTCACATTTAAAAAGTTGATGAGAAATCAGAATATCTATTCATGCTGAGCATGCAGGATATTCAAGTGCTTAAAATCTACAATTACACGTCTAAATTGGAGAAAATACATATAAAACTCAGTAATAACACCCCTATGTATCTTTAGTAGACTCTACCATGCTATTTAGGAAGATAACGTCTATAATAAACAACACACCCTCAATTTACCATACTCATTATACACAAAAGTTATTGTCTGAAAAGGGGGGTGGGGTTGGGAGTTACTCATAAAATACTTTTATCACTATTTATGATAAGTGCATTGTTTTGTTTATCAGCAGGAATGTCAATAGTATAAGAGAATTTTATATACAGAAAAACTTGTAATTTAACAAAACTGATAAACTTTGTCTTATGGAGATTAAGTACTGCAAGGGGAATGATTTTGTGTCATTCGCAGAAAATAAACTTCAACCTAAGTATAAGAAAAAATGCATATGTAAGAAAAGGAAGAAACTAATTAAGCTTTAAGATTAGAGTATTTAGATGTACAAAAGCTTAAATTAGAATTATGAATTTTCCTCCCTTTCTCGTTAAATTCCCACTGAAATCAACCTTTTTAGAAATTGTTTTTCTGTGATAAAATGAAAAATTAAAGAAATTTATTGGCATTTATATAAATAAACAAAATAAGGCATGTCATCAATTGAGGGAAGATTTCATGATTAATAAAAAGACAATGTATTAGCTAAGTTAATTCATTATGACGGTAGGGTAATCATACAAGTAACAGACCAAAACTCTCATACAGAAATATATATATGATATAAAAAACAGGACAACAAAAAAATACCTTTATAGTATAATCACCAATAAAGCCAAAATTTCCTGAAAATTTTTAACTCAGAAGTTTGTGATATGTTTTTGCTATGATTGGTATTTGAGTTCATTTGACACCATTTTTATCAAAATATGTGATATTTCATTTTCATATTTAATAATTATGTCAGAATTTCAGTTTTATGAAGTTCATGAACAAAACAGTTGTTTAAAGTGCAAAAACAGTCCAAGTTAAATTACTTTCAAGAAATTAAGACTTGACCTCGTATTCGTAAAACAGTTCTCAAGTTATGTGCTCATATAGACTTTGTTGTGACTGGTGGAGACGTTACCATGGTTTCAGAAAGTCAACACCAAACAGAGGAATGGTAATGACTACAAATCTCACATAATTAACCCCATTACCCCTATGTAACTTCAGCAGACTCTACCATGCATTGATCTGGATGAGTCCATTATGGTCTACAGTGGTGAAAGGGTTAAAATCCACTAGTTCTGTACTTGATACAGTCTTATCTTGTCTGCACCTCTGGAATATCTCACGACAAAATCAAAGCCCCACATCAAGCTATTTGATTAGTTTTAGGTATATACACCTGACCAATCACAAGGCTGAATGATACTTAAGTCCAGAGGAGCTACACCCAACTTCAAAGCCTGATGATTTTACCATTACACTGTTGCATGATTTCTTTTATCTTTATTGCGTTTCACATGACTGGTCTCCTTGTATCATCTACACAGTAATGTATTATAAAGAGCCTTCAATTTTGTCATGACATATTACAAGCCTGCAGAAAGATCTGTGAGCTGAGATTGGAAACCATGGATTTCAAAAATAAACCAACAGAAAAGTGATCGAATATTTTAAATTTTCTAAAACTTCTTTTTGTTTGAGCTTGAACATGAGAATGGTGTTTTTTTATGAAAACAGGCCTTATATATAATAATATAGAAATATGATAGATTGAAAAACAAACAAAAACAAAATAAAACAAAATGTAATTTATAAATCTGAACTGAAAATGTATACCTTGTTTAAAACTTTAGAGGGGGTTATATAACCAGGGATAAAATGATTATATATACGAAGGGATTTAAAGCTAATCACCAAACAATGTCCCTTATAATATATGTGCAACCTCTCAACTTTGTATAGGAGTCCAATTGGTCTGGATGTAGAGGACAAAAAAAAAGTATGAGGGAAAGAAAGAAGGAAACATGAGAGTGAAGAGTGGAGGGGGAAATGAAACATGGGAGGAAACAAAGAGTGGAGATGAAAAGAAAGATAGAAGGAGGGGAGGGAGGGAAACGAGAGAAAGGGAGGAGTTGTAGAGTGAAAAGGTGGAGGAGAAAAGAATGGGTAGTAGGGGAAGATGGAAGGAGGCAATGGGATATAGGGGAGCAACCAAAGACAGGAGAGGTAGAGAAGAAAGGAAAGATGGGAGAGATTGAGGGAAGGAAACAAGGGAGAAAGGGAGGAGTTGTAGAGTGAAAAGGTGGAGGAGAAAAGAAGGGGTAGTAGGGGAAGATGGAAGGAGGCAATGGGGTAAGGGAGGAACCAAAGACAGGAGAGGTAGAGAATAAAGGAAAGATGGGAAAGATTGAGGGAAGGAAACAAGAGAGAAAAGAATGGGTAGTAGGGGAATATGGAGAGAGGCAATGGGGTAAGGGAGGAACCAAAGACAGGAGAGGTAGAGAATAAAGGAAAGATGGAAGAGATTGAGGGAAGGAAACAAGAGAGAAAAGGAGGAGTTGTAGAGTGAAAGGGGGGAGGAGAAAAGAATGGGTAGTAGGGGAAGATGGAAAGAGGCAATGGGGTAAGGGAGGAACCAAAGACAGGAGAGGTAGAGAATAAAGGAAAGATGGGAAAGATTGAGGGAAGGAAACAAGGGAGAAAAGGGGGAGTTGTAGAGTGAAAAGGTGGAGGAGAAAAGAATGGGTAGTAGGGGAAGATGGAAAGAGGCAATGGGGTAAGGGAGGAACCAGAGAGCAGAAAGGGTGGAGAGGGAATAGGGTATTGACTACATAAGGGAGGGAAACAAGAAAGTCGGGGTTTGGTTTGGTTTATAGGGCTAATAGTGTCCTGAATGTCAGTTTAGAAGGTCAATTAAAAACATGGAAAAAGAAATAAGGCAGGACTCACTGGGGATAGAGAAACAAGGCAGGACTCACCGGGGATAGAGAAACAAGGCAGGACTCACTGGGGATAGAGAAACAAGAGCTGTGTACTTTCTGTGGAAAGTTGTTACCCGAGTTACAGTGGACAGACAGACAGTTCGGTGTCTAATGTTTTATGAGTACAGGGTGAACAGAGACATCCTGTGTCTAATGTTTTATGAGTACAGGGTGAACAGAGACATCCTGTGTCTAATGACATGCAAAAATATACATTGTCTGTGAAATATAAAAAAGTAAATCCAGATACCATTTCACTACTAAGAGAACATACTATATGAATGATTTTTCTCGGCGTGTTCCTCCGACAAAACTTCTTATCCTGTAGGTGTGGTAGAAGAGGCATTAATTAAAATGAAACGGAATAAAAAATTGGTATAAAAAAATTGCAAACAATTAAAATAAAGAAGAAAATGATAACACATTTTAATTTTGACTATCATTATGTGTAAATTCAAGCTTTGCTGATAGGAAACCTTGAATTTTCCCCCCTTAAGGAAAATGCTACATTACAGTACAATGTTTCTCCTTCACAAAAGAGTTCATCATGCACTAATTAAGATCATGAAATATCTTTTATGCATGGACTCGGTTAGGTTGATTAATTAATGACATGTTGCAAAAATACACAAGAAATGATGACACATTTGAAACTACCCAAGAAATTATGACCATTTTTTTAATAATGCTTACAAAGAGATGTATGGGAGATAACTCTAACACAAATCACGTGCATATCAAGTAAGGTAGCATATATCCTTAACTCAAACTCATACATTGGACCCAAGTGAACTAATCCATGCATTTACCCCTCATTGTATTTTTTACTTAGAATCCTTTCCGTGTTGTATTTTGTTCAAGTCCTTCGGGAGTCATTTCATAATTAAATTAAATATATATATTTTCAATAATAATTCATCCTATTTCTATAAAACCTGTGTCAGTGGTCTAGATTGTGTGTTCACATAGTTAATCATTAATATTGATACACAGAGACGTATCGCTGCATACATAAATACTGAAAATACTGGTGTTGTGTTATGAGATACTGAAATTTACCCAAAGCCATAAAACCCATCTTTATCAGTACTGTGTTTTTTTTGAGCTGGACAGGGAGTTCCGAGACTCATGTCAATCATATACAAACATAGATGAGCATCCATTCTAATACTTATTAATGTATTATACAGTAAGAGTGTGTAGTGTAAGACGTACCTGAACTGGTTGTTCTGTGGCTGTTTGTTCACGAGCTGGACGTTGTTAGATCTCCACTGCGCCTCAATCTTACTGTAGATTCCTCCAGCAAACTGTAATACAAGGTCAAAGGTTAAGTAAAGCACAAAGGTCATAGAGTATCTCAAATCCATACAGTGACACAAGGTCACACAACAGCACAAGATCATAGGACAACTCAATGTCATACAGGAAGCTCAAGGTTATAGAGTAACTCAGAATCACAGGATAACTAAAGAGTATAGAGTAATTCAAGATTATAATGTTGGTCAAGTTCACAAAAAGTAACTCAAGATTGTAAGGGTTAAACAAGGTCAAAAGACAAATAGTCACTCTAGGTAAATGGTTCCTCAAGGTCATAGACTATAGTACTGTAAAAGTATAGAGTAATTCAAGATCATAACGTTGGTCAAGTTCACAAAAAGTAACTCAAGATTGTAAGGGTTAAACAAGGTCAAAAGACAAATAGTCACTCTAGGTAAATGGTTCCTCAAGGTCATAGACTATAGTACTGTAAAAGTATAGAGTAATTCAAGATCATAACGTTGGTCAAGTTCACAAAAAGTAACTCAAGATTGTAAGGGTTAAACAAGGTCAAAAGACAAATAGTCACTCTAGGTAAATGGTTCCTCAAGGTCATAGACTATAGTACTGTAAAAGTATAGAGTAATTCAAGATCATAACGTTGGTCAAGTTCACAAAAAGTAACTCAAGATTGTAAGGGTTAAACAAGGTCAAAAGACAAATAGTCACTCTAGGTAAATGGTTCCTCAAGGTCATAGACTATAGTACTGTAAAAGTATAGAGTAATTCAAGATCATAACGTTGGTCAAGTTCACAAAAAGTAACTCAAGATTGTAAGGGTTAAACAAGGTCAAAAGACAAATAGTCACTCTAGTTAAATGGTTCCTCAAGGTCATAGACTATAGTACTGTAAAAGTAACTTAGTAACAAGAGATTACAGGGTAACTACGGTAACAAGAGATTACAGGGTAACTATGGTAACAAGAGATTACAGGGTAACTATGGTAACAAGATATTATAGGGTAACTATGGTAACAAGAGATTACAGGGTAACTATGGTAACAAGATATTATAGGGTAACTATGGTAACAAGAGATTACAGGGTAACTGTGGTAACAAGAGATTACAGGGTAACTATGGTAACAAGAGATTACAGGGTAACTATGATAACAAGAGATTATAGGGTAACTATGGTAACAAGAGATTACAGGGTAACTGTGGTAACAAGAGATTACAGGGTAACTATGGTAACAAGAGATTACAGGGTAACTATGATAACAAGAGATTATAGGGTAACTATGGTAACAAGAGATTACAGGGTAACTATGGTAACAAGAGATTATAGGGTAACTATGGTAACAAGAGATTATAGGGTAACTATGGTAACAAGAGATTACAGGGTAACAATAGCTATTAGAGGAGAAACTTACATCCTTTTTAGGTTTGTCTAACTTGTCTGGGTTTAACCGTAACTTTGTCAGATACAGCCGGATGTCTTTCATTCTTCTATGGTCTGAGAACAAACAGAAAAAAATGTTACATTACATATAAAATTAAATCATGTATGTCCACATTCCTCCTGCCCCCTATTTGTATGCATGCCCACCTTCATATATAATGTGTAAGCTCCTCTCACTTCACATAAGCCCCTCCCATATCATGTGTAAACCCCTCACACATCATGTAAGTCCCTTCCATATATTATTAGTTGTAAGCCATCCAATAATTCATGTGTAAGTTCATCCCACTTAATATAAGTCCCTCCCATATTATGTGTTAGCCCCTCCTATAGTATGTGTAAGCCCCTCCCATATCATGTGTAAACCCCTCACACATCATGTAAGTCCCTTCCATATATTATAAGTTGTAAGCCATCCAATAATTCATGTGTAAGCTCATCCCACTTAACATAAGCCCCTCCCACATTAGGTATTAGCCCCTTCTATAGTATGTGTAAGCCCCTCACATTTTATGTAAGCCCCTCCCCCACTGACCTTCCTGTCGCTGAGCGTCCTGGTTGTACCTCATGGACCTGCCAGTATCCCATGTGGACTTCTTTGTTTGGCTACAAATCAAAACATGTGGCTCAATTAAATGAAGAAATCAATATTTATATGTTGTTTTCTTCACACTGACTTTATGCATTTCATCCTTACCAGCAAAAAAGGGAGAAACCACAATAATTTTTAAAGAGACCTTTTAATTTCAGTGAAACCTCCTACCTTCCTCAAGCAGGGAAAATCTTATTAAGAATGTAGGATTTTTCATTATAAGGAAATGGGTGGACACAAAAAGAACAAAAAGAGTTGTGCATCAACAAAAAAATTCTTCATCAAATTTCCCTTAAATAAGAAAGGAAAAACCTTGTTTATCTACCATTACCATTGAAACAGGTAAGAAATTGGGACTTAAATTTTAATGTTTCGTAAATATATTCATATTTAAAAAAATTAGATTATAAGTTTGCAATCTTTGAGAAAACATCCAGTAAGACACAATGGTGAGAAGGCGCTTACTCAAAATCTGGAGCATCCAGCAGGATGGCCTGGGGATCAATGGTCACTCTTGACCGCCTCGTTCCTCTTGACCGACGAGCTGCATGAGAAATTACCAATCAATGAGTTTTGTTAAAATGGCTATGTCACAAAGGCTCTTTGGGGTGTAACTCATTCACCCCTGAAATTTCATAATGAACTGTTCCAACCTTTGAAATTTGAAGAGTTTAATTGTGTCTTCAGGGGTGAATAAGTTAATGGTAAAATGCAAAAGTTAAGAGTGACAATAAACAAGTTTACTCTGAACAGAAAGATTGAACTGTTAACTATGGTGGCATATTTCTGCCATCCACTTGCGACTTACGAGTTACGTATGTCGACATAATTATTGAAAGATGTCGACATAATCTGAGAATATGTCGACATAATCTGAGAAGATGTCGACATAACTGTTAAATTATGTCGACATATTATCACATTTGCCGAGATAATTTTGCCGAGATAATTATCTCGTAAGTGGGTAACTCGGCTTTTTATCGTGTTAATGCTCGGGTGTGACATCGACTTGCCACTTACGACTTGCCACTTACGACTTATTTATGTCGACATCCTAGTAGATTATTGCCGACTTACCAAAACGAGGCTTGTGCACGAGGACCGCGAAGGTGGGCTGATGGTGACTGAACAGTGGTGACTATACTGGTGAGTAACTTGGTAAAATCAATGTAAATATGGGAAATCAAAGATATGGATATTACAGTAGGTTACTATGATGTACAGAGTTTATCAATCAAAGAGGGATTTTACATAAATAAGTCGTAAGTGGCAAGTCGTAAGTCGATGTCACACCCGAGCATTAACACGATAAAAAGCCGAGTTACCCACTTACGAGATAATTATCTCGGCAAAATTATCTCGGCAAATGTGATAATATGTCGACATAATTTAAAAGTTATGTCGACATCTTCTCAGATTATGTCGACATATTCTCAGATTATGTCGACATCTTTCAATAATTATGTCGACATACGTAACTCGTAAGTCGCAAGTGGATGGCAGAAATATGCCACCATAGTTAACACTTTTCACAAGCAACATGAAAACTGTGTGAGAAACGCTTCCTAATGTGAGGATAATGTGTTTGATAATTATAAACAAGGCATCACAAGTGATACAAATCCCCTCGCATTCACAAATTGTGACATATATCTAAGAGAAAATGAAGTCGGTAGAGCGATGACAATTTTTTTTTCTTAAAAATAGTAAAAGTCACCTTGACCTTCAATGTAGAAACCCGAAAGGAAAGATGTTCAAGGTATTGCCAAACCAAACACTTGTATGAAGTTTCATGAAATTCTATTGAGGAATGAAGTCGATAGAGCGATGACAATTATTTTTTGTAAAAATGATAAAAGTGACCTTGACCTTTAATGCAGTAACCTGAAACGCAAATTTGTTCAAGATATTGTCACACTAAGCACTGGTATCAAGTTTCATTTACCAATCAGACTAAAAACATCTTCCCAAAGGTAATTTAATCACATGCCAGGCGATGTTTGCCCTATCTAAATTTTTGCCTTTTACTCTCTCTATAAATATGAGAACAAATCATTGTGATTCCACATATTAGTACACTGCTTCCTAAATGCATTTGTTCACAATAAACGGCAAAATTACCTAATTGATAGAGAACAAATATGGATTTTCCAGTAAATGCTGAATATTTCAAAATTCAGCCGGAGAAAATTTCCCAGTATACTGTAGCACAGGTAACGAGCGTCATGATGATAACCTATAGGTTACATTACCTGTTCCTTTTGGCTGTTCGTCGTCTCCTAGTTCGTCGTCACTTTCTCCCATGCCGATATCGTCATACTCAAATGACAGCTCCCTCTCCATGGTCAGGGCCTGGAGGCGGGGCTGGGGCCTCACAGTCTGGATAGAAACACGATAGATTAGATATATTAACCCAAAATAGCTTAAACATGCAATCAATTCTCTGGGCTATTTCACTAAAAATTTAGTCAGTCACATATTGGACATGTGACTCCTGTCACCAAAATAATATCATGAGACAAAAGATTGACAAAATTTTCTGGTGTATCTTACACTGAGAAACACTTAAGGACGAAAAAATCAATTCTACGACTTAATCTACCTTATTATACCAGTAAACTTCAATTAGCATTGAATTTTACAAAACACAATCTAAATCATAAATTCATGACCCAACTTAATGACGTACCAGCTAAATAATCTATGCATGGCTANAAATGCATCACCTATAGAAATTAAGCCAATCAAATCATTATTTTTTAAGAACCGCATTTATAATTGGCTTGTAAGAGTGGAACTCTTTAGAGAGGGAGGTAAGAATAGGGTAGCATACAGCCTTGATAACTTCAACAGAGCTTACTAAGTATCAAAGAACTCTTTTGGATAGGAGGTGCATGTCAAGTAAAGGTAACATACAGCCATAATTACCTCTGATTTTTTGTTGTCATCGGTGGTAGACATTATTAGTCTGTACTAGTGAGTGTACACATTAAATCTATCACAGAACTATTTTGGAATGTCAAAGTGAAGGTAACATATAGCCTTAATTACCTCAGATTTTTTGTCGTCATCAACAGCAGACATGAGTGAAGGATGGATGGCCGTGCCTTCTTTACGTGTGCTACTCACATATTCCTCATTTTCGTACATGTTCAGCTCTGACTCGCTGTGAAGGATAACAAAACATTTTTCTCACAGATATCATCTATTGTAGCAATATATACATGACAATTTACCTCACAGAAAGTAGAACTAATCATGAAAATATTTAATATTCAGGCACAAAGCTTGTAAATGAATTCAGTGATGGCAAGTATGGAAAGTTCCAGATCTGCATGGAAACTGGATAAATAACCGTAGTACTTTCTATCTTTCCAATAATTCTTTCAGAAAATGCAAGCATGCAAACACAGCAGAGCGTTCCTGAGTTTAATGATTGCACATGTACACAGAGGCATGACAGAAACATTGTCCCCATGTTTAATTGTCAGTTTTTGAAATTATAAACATCACCCCAATATAAAGTTGATTAAGATATGATAAATATGGGTGTCAAGATAGATACGGTATATATATTGTAATAAGCCTAGGGGTAAATTAACATATAGGTAACCTCTGACTTACTGGATTAGGGGGATGGGGTAAATACAGGACAATAAAATAGCACCGTTGGCATTTCTACTGAACTGCAATTGATATGTGTGGGCCTGTAACCTTATAAGCTTATTACTGGGTCAATACAGGTAAATGCGGTTAAGTACAGAAATATAAAAAAGTAAGAAAATGACAAACATGAAAAATCTATTCTAGTACTAAACATTCCTCTTAATATCATGCATCAATTATCTGAAGAAAATATGATATTAAAAGAAAATGATTTTTAACTGTGATATAAAGAAGCATGAAAGACAATACAATGTTTCAGTTAACAAAGAACTTTATACATTGGGTCCAAAGTTTAAGGTCCAGTTTATAAAGGTTCCCAGTTTATAAAGGTTCCCAATTTATAAAAGGTTTCCAGTGTATAAAGGTTCCCAGTTTATAAAGGTTTTCAGTTTATAAAAGGTTTCCAGTTTATAAAGGTTTTCAGTTTATAACTTTAGGTTTCCATATTATAAAGGTTTCCAGATTATAAAAGTTTCCAGATTATAAAGGCTCCCATTTTATAAAGGTTCCCAGTTTATGAAAGTTCCCAGTTTATAAAGGTTCCCAGTTTATAAAGGTTTCCAGTTATAAATGTTATTTTGTTAAATAGAGAAGAACCGACACCAATTTACAAAATTAAAATTATAATAGTTGTGACATTACTAACCAAATATGATATTTATTACCCCAATGTATATAAATAACATATACTAACCCAATATATTTATAAACCAAATGATAGTTACTAACCCAATATATTTGTTGAATGCAATATGAAGTTAACTCATTCACCCCTGAAGACACATGTTAACTCTTCCACTTCAAAGGTGAAATAGTGAAATTTCAGGGGTGAATGAGATAACAGATATTTTACAACACTTACTGACCCAATATCTTTTAGTGACCCAATATCAAATGTAAAAATAACCCAATATGGGAGTTGTTGAATATCACATGACAGCTTTACACCAATCAAATTACAGAGTTTTCACCATGGAAAGTTAATAATCTGCAGAGGAAGGTTTCAATACTATCAGCTGTATTCAGAACAATGGAGAAAGAATAAAAAAACAGGTTCATTTTAGTGAAATAATAATTGTAAGATCACATTCTGTGCAGATTTCTAGATATATAATTTTAAGCAGATTAAATAATATTAAAATTAAAGGTAATGAAAAAGAAATCAAATTCAAAATGTCAGTTCATGTTATGAGATTAAAATCACAAACCTGAACCTTGATAGTGTAAACCTGGTTTGTACCAACAGTAAACATGACATGATCTAGCAGGTGGTCAAATAACTACCCTTCCTCCCCCTGTTTTCGTACAGATTTCATTTTACATTCCACAAGTTCCTGATTATTATGAAAGATTAAATTATCATATTGATCACATTAACAACATCTAAAATAACACATTTTTTATACAATAAAGAAGGAAAACATTCATAGTATCTCACCTCAGAACAATGTGTGTATGGATACGCCGTAAATTTCACGAGGACTCACGAGGGAAGTATATCCCTTCATGTAATTAACATGTGTAATCTGAACCATCAGATGAACACAGGTGTGTGGTATTTCTTTTATTACACACATAAAACTGTTCTTTATGTTTTTTTTATATTTTCTGAAAAACATTACCTACCAATACCCCGTATCAATGTTTAATATGCTTTTCAAAGTATTGAACAGAACAACAAAGGCAGGCAAAATATCCCAACAGGGAAAGAAAAATGTCATCACCATAACCACATCGTAATAAGACGGTGCTAAAATATTCAGAACCCAATCTTGTTTCAATTTGTCAATTTGATCAGTAGAAAACACCTGTTAAGTTCAAGCCAAAAAGTAGTTCTGACTACTGGGGTAATACAATATCTTGTATAGTGTATACAATGTACCAGATGGCCTGACCATGATTGTACTACTCAAGTAAGAATTTGTACCTGGCGTCTGAGAGACGTTGGAATGGTACACACACCACATCTCTGTGGGCGAGCAGATCGTCGTACACACGGTTTGGCGAGGCTTTGTCGACATCTCCTCCGGGGATGATCTCTGGCAGACTGACAATGTGATCCCTCACACGGCACCCCTAAACATTTACAAAATAACAGCAATGTAAACAAAATGTCTGTATTCCAAAAAACACTCTATAGATATCTTGTAAATATCTGGTAAACACGTCAGTCCTTGTCTTTTTAGTACAGGACAGATTTATTCAAATATAATCCACAGACTTATTAATGAAAGGATCATCAAAATATTGATGTAAAAATAAGTACTCAATACAATTACCTGGTACTGTATGTTCAAACTGTGAAATAACACTGATCAAAATCCTCAATTACATGTCAAAATAAACTTCAGGTTTGGTTTAGTATTGTTTAATGTATGTCCTATCAACAGCTAGCTATGCAAGGTCATTTAAGGACGGCCTCCCCCATTTGCGAGATGCATGCATGTGGTGAGTTTGTGCATAATTAATTTGTGTTTTGGGAGTCTGTGGTATGTTCATGTTTGTCTCCTTGTGATAGTGCAGGACTGATGCTGACTTTATAGTGTAAGTTCACTGGAGCACACTGCTGAAGACACATCTTATTTTACGATCAAACCTCGTTATCTCACCATCTTCAATAGCCAAGTGTTCATAATTTAAATTTGTACTATTCAACCTTGGCGGATTTAGCCTTGTGTTTAATTTCCCTCCCTTGCCACCTAACAGAGACACTTTACTATCAAAACTTTAAACTTTCAAGATTATTTCAGGACTGGCCTGGTCGCCTACAGTTTAAAGATTATTTCAGGACTGGCCTGGTCGCCTACAGTTTAAAGATTATTTCAGGACTGGCCTGGTCGCCTACAGTTTAAAGATTATTTCAGGACTGGCCTGGTCGCCTACAGTTTAAAGATTATTTCAGGACTGGCCTGGTCGCCTACAGTTTAAAGATTATTTCAGGACTGGCCTGGTCGCCTACAGTTTAAAGATTATTTCAGGACTGGCCTGGTCGCCTACAGTTTAAAGATTATTTCAGGACTGGCCTGGTCGCCTACAGTTTAAAGATTATTTCAGGACTGGCCTGGTCGCCTACAGTTTAAAGATTATTTCAGGACTGGCCTGGTCGCCTACAGTTTAAAGATTATTTCAGGACTGGCCTGGTCGCCTACAGTTTAAAGATTATTTCAGGACTGGCCTGGTCGCCTACAGTTTATGGTCGCCGGTCGCCTACAGTTTATGGTCGCCTACAGTTTATGGTCGCCCTGTATTTCCCTTGGTTTTGAAAAGTTATGATCACCACCTACATTAAAACATTATCCTCTCAGACCCTCAAACAAATTCATTAACCTTACCCCCTGACCCTTCAACTTCATTAAACATATGCCCTATGACCTTTGACTTCTTAATTAACCTGACCTTTTTGACCTTACTCCCTTTGACCCTATGACCTTTTCGCTAACCTTACCCCCTGACCCTTCAACTTCATTAAACTTATCCCCTATGACCTTTGACCTCTTAATTAACCTGACCTTTTTTTAAACCTTACTCCCTCTGAACTGTGACCTTTTTAACCTTACTCCCTTTGACGCTATGACTTTTTTCTGTAACCTTACCCCCTGACCCTTCAACTTAATTAAACTTATCCCCTATGACCTTTGACCTCTTAATTAACCTGACTTTTTTTAAACCCTACTCCCTCTGAACTATGACCTTTTTAACCTTATTCCCTCTGACCCTATGACCTCTTCGCTAACCTTATTCTGCTGTGTGGGGTCAAACCGGAGATTTTTCTGGTGACAGCAGGGATAAGTGCCGATACAGGCCCCAAGTCCACTCTCGTTGTCATAGCGAGGCGGCTCGGGGTGATATTTACAGTGGCCAAACTCGGCACAGGGAAACAGGTCACCACAGCGTGTACAGTTCAGGAAATTGATGAGGCCCCAGATACGCCAGTAAACTTCGCGCCAGGATTTGAGCTGTGTCTTTAACTCCAACAGGTATTCGTTGATGTCAAAAGACTTGTCTTTGACGTGGCAATGTGATAAACGGCCTCTCTTATCGATGGTCATCCTTAAAATAAAATATAAAATTCATCTCATTGTTTTCTTCATTCCTTCGGTATCCCTCCTACTTGTCTCTATTTTATGTGACAATATCTTGTGACTTCCGATATGGATATCATGCCATGTTGGTTCAATAAAGATTTCGCACTACGACTCCGCTTTAGTTGTACTTCATCCTCAACAACTACAAAGGTTTGAAAGTTACACAAGTTTTTTAATGTAAATTATTGGTATTTCAAAAACAGCCTTAGGGTGAATTCATTTGTGAGAGTTAATCAAAATCTACTGCTAAAATATTTTCATTGGTCTAATTCTATTCCAAGTGTTGAATGGCAGCAACATGGTAACCATTCATTTTCAATTCGAAAATCATTTTCCCGTGATGCTTTGGAGAATATGAAAATTGTCCATTGAGACTCGGAGAAGTAGAATATTATCATCGGCTCCCCATAAAAAAACAGTAACCTAATGCAATCAATTGAAGACCCTGGTGTTTAGAGGTCTGACACTTATTTGTCTGATGATGGTGACAGAGTAATCGCTAAAGAGTTACACTGAGGTACACAGTCATTTGTCTGATGACAGTGACAGCGTAATCACTAAAGAGTTACACTGAGGTAAACAGTCATTTGTCTGATGACAGTGACAGCGTAATCACTAAAGAGTTACACTGAGGGACACAGTCATTTGTCTGATGGCAGTGACAGAATAATCACTAAAGAGTTGCACTGAGGTACACAGTCATTTGTCTGATGGCAGTGACAGAATAATCACTAAAGAGTTACACTGAAGTACACAGTCATTTTTCTGATGGCGGTGACAGAGTAATCACTAAAGAGTTACACTGAGGTACACAGTCATTTGTCTGATGGCAGTGACAGAATAATCACTAAAGAGTTACACTGAGGTACACAGTCATTTGTCTGATGACGGTGACAGAGTAATCACTAAAGAGTTACACTGAGGTACACAGTCATTTGTCTGATGACGGTGACAGAGTAATCACTAAAGAGTTACACTGAGGTACACAGTCATTTGTCTGATGACGGTGACAGAGTAATCACTAAAGAGTTACACTGAGGTACACAGTCATTTGTCTGATGACGGTGACAGAGTAATCACTAAAGAGTTACACTGAGGTACACAGTCATTTGTCTGATGACGGTGACAGAGTAATCACTAAAGAGTTACACTGAGGTACACAGTCATTTGTCTGATGACGGTGACAGAGTAATCACTAAAGAGTTACACTGAGGTACACAGTCATTTGTCTGATGACGGTGACAGAGTAATCACTAAAGAGTTACACTGAGGTACACAGTCATTTGTCTGATGACGGTGACAGAGTAATCACTAAAGAGTTACACTGAGGTACACAGTTATTTGTCTGATGACGGTGACAGAGTAATCACTAAAGAGTTACACTGAGGTACACAGTCATTTGTCTGATGACGGTGACAGAGTAATTATCACTCCTACTACAGCTAGCCATCTAAATGTTACACAAACATTTCACTGGCTGTGCTAAATGAACCTTGTATACAATCTATATTTACTAGCCCGAAAACAATGTCTCAAAATATGGTTCCTTCTCCTACTTACCTACACGGCATACACTTGACTTTCTTCTCCAAGTTAGCAGTCAAAATTCTTTTACATACAGAGCACCTGTAAAAATATATAGTAAATTTAACTACTTAACGTTCATTTCAATTTACTTTTTGTCAAGTTAACATCATTTAGACTATGATTGGGTATCCATGTTAAAATATACAGTGAAATGTGTCTAATCTGACACCCCGTGGGGCACAACGTTTTAGTCAGATCAACCTGTCAAATCTGACACCCTGTGGGGTACAACGTATTGGTCATATCAACCTGTCTAATCTGACACCCTGTGGGGCACAACGTATTGGTCAGATCAACCTGTCAAATCTGACACCCTGTGGGGCACAATGTATTGGTCATATCAACCTGTCTTATCTGACACCCTGTGTTGCACAACATATTGATAAGTCATTAACCTGTCTAATCTGACACCATGGTGGGTACAACATATAAGTCAAATTAAGGTTGGATCTGAAGATTTCATTGTATAACGTTAAAACACCATAATGAAGGAGAATCCGTTTCAAGATCAACAAGGTAGTTGAGATATCTAAATTCAAAATAAAGAAGTTCAAATATGGTTTTCAAGAGAAAGGGGGAAATTTCCAAACAAATCTAATTTTTCATAAGATTTTGCATTTCAGACTAATACGAAGTAGGCAAGTTCTAATGAATATTTCACGATTTCTGGTGTGCAATATGTCTACAAAGACAACTTGACTGAACAATAAGACAAAAATCTTAAAACCACAAACTTCACTTTTATCTTATTTACATATTGCAAAAAAATCGCACCATGTGAAATAAAGAAAACAATAGCAAACAAATATTTGTACGTGCCGGCCTCCTACACCACAGAATGTGTCAGCGCACAGCAAACAAATATTTGTACGTGCCCGCCTCGTACGCCACAGAATGTGTCAGCGCACGGCAAACAAATATTTGTACGTGCCCGCCTCGTACGCAACAGAATGTGTCAGCGCACAGCAAACAAATATTTGTACGTGCCCGCCTCGTACGCCACAGAATGTGTCAGCGCGCAGCAAACAAATATTTGTACGTGCCCGCCACGTACGCCACAGAATTCTTACCTAAACATGTTGGTAGCATCCTCCGGCGAGTCTGGACTCTTTGATTCAACATCAAACAGCTTCTCCAGCTTCTTGGCGAACAGTTTACTAAAGTCAAAAGTAAAACAAAACATTTACTATGACCTTGAACTTGGTCTTAAGACAGATTCCTCCCAGCCCTAGAACTAACTTGGAGATTTTTAAGGAATGTTCTAAATTTATTTAACAAAGCCGCATAACTTTATAATTTATCTAACAAAGCCCCATACCTTTATTATTTATTTAACAAAGCCCCATATCTTTATAATTTATTTAACAAAGCCCCATACCTTTATAATGTATTTAACAAAACCCCATACCTTTATAATGTATTTAACAAAGCCCCATACCTTTATAATTTATTTAACAAAGCCCCATATCTTTATAATTTATTTAACAAAGCCCCATACCTTTATAATTTATCTAACAAAGCCCCATACCTTTATAATTTATCGAACAAAACCACATACCTTTATAATTTATCTAACAAAGCCCCATACCTTTATAATTTATCTAACAAAGCCCCATATCTTTATAATTTATCTAACAAAGCCTCATACCTTTATAATTTATCTAACAAAGCCCCATACCTTTATAATTTATCTAACAAAGCCCTATACCTTTATAGTTTATCTAACAAAGCCCCATACCTTTATAATTTATTTAACAAAACCCCAAACCTTTATAATTTATTTAACAAAGCCCCATACCTTTATATTTTATTTAACAAAGCCCCATACCTTTATAACCTATCTAACAAAGCCCCATACCTTTATAATTTATCTAACAAAGCCCCATACCTTTATAATTTATTTAACAAAGCCCCATACCTTTATAATTTATTTAACAAAGCCCCATACCTTTATAATTTATCTAACAAAGCCCCATACCTTTATAATTTATTTAACAAAGCCCCATATTTTTATAATTTATTGAACAAAGCCCCATACCTTTAAAATTTATTGAACAAAGCCCCATACCTTTATAATTTATTTAACAAAGCCCCATACCTTTATAATTTATCTAACAAAGCCCCATACCTTTATAATTTATCTAACAAAGCCCAATACCTTTTAAACTTGTCCTTTCTGTCCTTGATGTCGTCTGCCTCGTTATGGGTAAACAGGTCGGATATCCTACAGTAGTTAAATTGACCATAATTAAAATTTACATTAACTGAAATTTTGTAATCAAAAGTTTTAAAGGCCTATGATCTATTAACACAATTAAGGTAGTTAGATAGGTAAACCACATGTTAGATAGGTAAACCACATGTTAAACACAGACTCCAAAAATTTCAGCAATTTATTTATTTTTTTATTAACTAAATCACCCCTACATTTTTTTAATGGACTTGCCCAGTCTATGATTTGGTAAGGTTCAAATGTGACTTTAGGGGTGAAGGGGTTAATAGACATTTTTATAATTTTGCTGGCAATTTTTATTACTGTTATATGAAGATTTTGGTTCAACTGCAATAGTAATATTGACATGAATACTAATCAATCTGCAGGAAGATGACAACATCTTTAATAACAGATTATTTTTGTAATTTGGAGAAAAGAAATAAATTCTCATAGGGAATAGTGATGATTTTCTGGCTCTGAGAAAAGGGAAAAAACATTGCACTGATTAGCTTTGGAGATTGGGTGGCGATAATTTTACTGACCTTCCCACGAGTTTGTCGTTGATACAATTCATGTTACAGGGCGTTGATACGATGGAAGACATGTTGCCATGGCAATACTCTATACATTCCTGTACAAGGACGTCCATCTTGAGAAAGTCAGACGAAATCAAAATAGATATCACGTTGTTTGCCTCTAAAAATAAAAAATACTTTGAACTAATTTGTTAATCAAAATGTTTGAGGCAGATTTTACAGTAACTTGAAGAATTTTCAATCATTTAAAGACTTTTTTAAAACCCTTAAAGATGAATTTTTTGATGATCCAGCCATTTTTATTCACTGCAAAAATGACTTGACTGAAACACAGTGAATTACTCACACGTGGAATTTTTTTTATAGAAAAATACCAATTGCATTTCAGAACAGTAACAGTCTTAATAGCAGGAAATGTACTTTCATAAACAGATTTTTCTACATATATTAGAAGAATTTGATTTAAATTTTTAATAACAGAATTTTGAGTTTTTAAGTTTTCATTTCCTAGAAATATATTTTATTTAGCTTAAATATTCACATAAACTTTGAAGAAACAATTGACATTTAAAAATAAAAATAATAACATGGATTAAATGACAAATATATGTGCAGTTATATATATTCAGCTAAAATTTTGGTCTCAAAAAGCAATCAAGAAAACAGTTCCTACCCAGTCTGGGTTTGTCCGGGACATCCTTTGAGCCCCGTTTGACATATTTCATCAGCCAATCAAAGATCTGGACGTCACAATGGACAGAGATGTCCACTTCCTCCCAGCGCTGGGCGTCCGTAGACAAGTACTCAGCAAAATATTTCATTTCCTGAACAAGTAAGTCTCTGGCACAGTGGAAATCCTGCTTCACTGAAGCCAAAAAATACATAATTAAATCATATATTATAGTATGTCTAGATTATCCTCTTTTCTAATTGGATAAGCCACTATCACCTGACCATTCAAAGTTACAAAATGATTCAGCAATTGTATTAAATGTCTTAAAGAATTATATCCACTTATAGTGTTTTTAATTTCAGATCTGAAAAAAAATTGATACTGGCACATCGAAAAAACTTGTGTAATTTGCGCAGTGTTTTTGTGTTTAAATTGAGTTTGAAGTTGGGGGTGCGCAATTACATAGCTATATTTTTTTCATGATTTTTTAAGAAAGATCGTTGAATTGCATGGTCGTCCATCTTAATTTCTGTCCATTGCGTTATTACAGAAATTTAAAAAAAAACGTAATCCAGGGAAAGATAAATTGGAATTGATTTATTGACCGATTTGTAACACTACTCACAGCTTTTGGCCTCGTCACACACATGGATGGTCATCAGAGGCCTGCAAACAAAAATAAACAAACAAACATAATGCTTGTTTTAAAATCCTTTCTTTTTTATGACAATTTCAAACCATGGACAGATGCTAATTTTTAACATAAAAAATATATCAAATTCTTTTATACGTGATACGAAAAATTGATAGAAATGACTGTTTACTTACAGGGCAAGGTTGCTATGTAACTTCAAAGTCACTCATTTATTGTTACCCCTTGTCTTACTTTTTGACTAGGGCTGTCACAATATATCGGAAAACAGGTATATCACAATACACAGGAATGTCGTATCGTACCACAATACAGAGATGAAATATTGCTGTATCCCAATATTTTTCAAAAGCATATTTTTATGTATATGCTTGGTGTTTTAACTTTGCAAATTACCACAAATTCTAACAGATTTGCCAATAAGCATAAATCAGACTTTTAATAGTTCAAATTTTAAACGATGGTTGGTTTGACAAAAATCTCATATCTATGTAATCCATATTATATATGATTAAGTTTGATAAAATTCTGACAACAACTTATTATAAAATTGAGCACATCCTTCCTATGACAATATATCGGGATACACTCTTGACACATATTTATGACTTTATGAGGTCAAGGTTACACACTATACTTACCCCTGGTCAGCGTTGTGGCGGCCTCCATTCTTACTTTTTTGATCTGCTGAGTCCTTAAAATCTTTATCACCTGTGAAATTTAAATGGTTAATTTTAATCTAAATAATATTTCGAGATTTGTGTTGATTCTAGGGCGACATGGTACTCATTCTGAAATATTTCAAACTTCTCTAACACAATCAACAGTGTCATATGGAAATAAAACTGCGGAATATCAACAATTTTTCAAAACTTGAAAAAAAAAAAGGAAAAAAGATGATTATTATATTTTTTCTCTCAAAAAACAAAATCAACATTATACATGTGACGGTGTGGCTAAAGAGTTAATATCTTTCATTTAATTGCAATGTTGAATATATTTAACTATGTATATGAAAAATCGCTTAATCTTTGAAAATTTATTATGATGATATTTTCAAACTGAAAAGGCAGACCTGTACCTTCAAAAATATGTGAGAAAGGGGTGGAGAAGGGGTGGAGAAGGGGTGGGGGAGGGGTATAAGGTTAAATGTTTTGCAGTGATCTATGTGACTTGACTTTAATTTCATACCAGATCTGTCTTTACAGGAGATTAGACATGAATACCTGTGGATAGCAATTCTAGCATGTAGCAGTGGTTTTTTATTCTTTAATTTTGCATTTTTTTTTATCTGTTTAAATCCTGAATTAAATCGGCAAAAATCATACATAAAATTGGCAAAATAATGTCAGTTGTTTAGAATTAAGTTCTACTCACTTTTACGTGCGGAGCTGGGACAGCTGCCTGTTTTACTGACCGTGTCAGACTCTGTAAAACTGATCTGGGATGAAGTCCCCGGGACAGCGTAACTTTTCTCAAACTGGTTAAAAGCATAGACATCACCGGCCAACAGTAATTCTTCATAACGTCGGGCGACCTGTGACATAGAATATTCTCACATACAGAGTAAATTGTCATATTATTACAACAATGGGAGAAGAAGTTACATACATGTACATACATGAATTTTTCTTAAAAACCTCTTAGGTTTAGTTTACATTTTCTAACAATATTTCAATTAAAATTTTAATCTTGTGAAATCAATAAAGTTTAAACAGATGTTGGATCTAGACTGACTTTTGAATCGAGAAAAATCATGGTTATTTTATGGAATCCAGACATATCCTCAAAAATTATGACAGGACAAACAAACAAAGGTAGATTATATGTTTCCACTTTCTAAAGATTATACTGAAGGTGTTTTAAAATTGATACTGCCCCTCTTACTTTTCCTTTCCTTTTAATTTTACATAGAATGGCACCAGTAATTTTTCATATTGACTAAAAGTTGCGGAAAATGGTCATTTGCTCTCAAATCCCGGGGTTGGCCCTGCAATATCAGTACAGTGTACTGCATCTTTCTATTTAGCGCAAATCTTTATAAAATTCTGTTAGTTTTAGCCATGCCTGCATAGTAAAAATTTGAAATATCGTTTCTCCATAAAAATACACCTGTTTTTATTTTGTGAAAATGCTGTGCAAAATAGACAATTGGCTTAATTCCCTTACTAATCATGCAATGAGAGCTGAAGTTCAATCAGAGCAAACACAATTTTAGATTTTTTGGCCTAATAATTACCTGTCCCGGGGACATCCCGGGGATGAGCCTCGCTATGGCATCCCAGTTCTTAGTCTGGAGCTCGTTGAAATCTTGGGAAGAAATTAGCGTCCTGAGGATGAGATCAAGTGCCACACCCACCCGAGACGAGGGTTCCACACTCACCATGTTTAATACTGTAAACAGAAGGTCAAGGTCGAGATCAGTTTCAATATACCGTTGTATGATAATAAAGTGATCAATCTTCAAATTATTTTTATCAGTCTTTTTCCACTGAATTATTAAAAAATATCGGTCCCACCAAGTTAGATGTCAGTATTTAAAAAACTCAAAGTCCCATTAGAATTCTATTCATGAGTATAGAGTTCGGTTCTCACATGGTAATTAACTTATTACTGATAATGTCACTATAAAGTTCTGTACTCACATGGTAAATACCTTATTACTGATAATGTCGCTATAAAGTTTGGTACTCACATGGGAATTAACTTATTAATGCTAATGTCACTATAGAGTTTGGTACTCACATGGTAAATACCTTATTACTGATAATGTCGCTATAAAGTTTGGTACTCACATGGGAATTAACTTATTAATGATAATGTCACGATAGAGTTTGGTACTCACATGGTAAATACCTTATTACTGATAATGTCACTATAAAGTGTGGTCCTCACATGGTAATTAACTTATTAATGATAATGTCACTATAGAGTTCGGTACTCACATGGTAATTAACTTATTTATGATAATGTTACTATAGAGTTTGGAACTCACATGGTAATTAACTTATTAATGATAATGTCACTATAGAGTTCGGTACTCATATGGTAATTAACTTATTTATGATAATGTTACTATAGAGTTTGGAACTCACATGGTAATTAACTTATTAATGATAATGTCACTATAGAGTTTGGTACTCACATGGCAATTAACTTATTAATGATAATGTCACTATAAAGTTTGGTACTCACATGGTAATTAACTAATTACTGATAATGTCACTATAAAGTTTGGTACTCACATGGCAATTAACTTATTAATGATAATGTCACTATAGAGTTTGGTACTCACATGGTAATTAACTTATCAATGATAATGTCACTATAAAGTTTGGTACTCACATGGTAATTAACTTATTAATGATAATGTCACTATAAAGTTTGGTACTGACGTGGTAATAAACTTATTAATGATAATGTCACTATAAAGTTTGAATAAATGTACTAAAGAATGCCAACATAAAGCAGTTCAAAGCTTAAAAATTACATAACAAGCCAGGCCTGGAATATTGGTTTAGCCGAGCATATGCATATACATCATCAGATAATGTAAAACGCAAAATAAGGTTAAAATAAATAGATTTTTTTTAACATAGGTACTTCATGTGCAGTTGATACAGTATAAAGTATATGTGGTGGTTTTTTAACCTACTTTATTGGTCTTGTTTCAGTTACCTAAAACACAACAGGTTTGAACCGTTTGATAGCTACCTCAGCCAATTCTATTTAAGTTCATAAATTCACTTGTGTGGCTACATCTGGTCTTATGTATATATATGTATATAATGCTTATTTTCATTTTTTTCATCGTTTTACATATTGTTTGATGTATTTGTTTATTTTCTTTAATTCTATTGAGTGTGATTTTATTTTGTTTTATACTGCTACATATACTCCCCCCCCCCCCCCCCCCCCCCCGAATAATATAAATTCTTATGTCCTTTTGTTGTTTTAGATTATGCTATATTATCATGTATATTATATATATGTCAAATTTATTTTTTTGCCATTAGCCTGTAACGTATTTTCCAATCAGGTCTGGATTTTTTTGTAATATTTACATGTTGTATGAGATTTGTGTTTGCATGACCTTTCATGTTTTTATTATGTGTCATTGTTACTATTGTAAAATAATTCGCTCTACTGAGCTAACGTTGCTCTTTTTAAAACAAAAAGAATTCCTGTAGTGTACCTTGTAGTAAATAGATGTGGGTCAAAGAAGTAATATAGACGGTAAAATCCCATATAACACTGGATCCTAATGGAGGTATGTCCGTAGGATACAAATTACTTAAAATATTATATGGGGCAAAGAAGTAATTCCAACAGTGTGGACAAGTTTAGGTTGTCAAAATTTCGGAGCGATCCACTCCTTTTTCAAGACACAGTGAAACAGAACAGTTACATGTACATATACATCATATTACAAGAAGATAGAATTGATTTACTATAATTGAAAATATAGCTATTATATAAAACCAATAGTCCCCTCGGCTAAAGACAGCCGAAGGCAGCAATTAAGCTGGGAGCATCGCGGACAAGGAACGCTGATGTAGAGGACCTATTCTTGCGCAAGATGCACTGTCATATAAAGTGAGTCAACGAGAGATATCAAAAAATTACTTAAAATATTATATGGGGCAAAGAAGTAATTCCAACAGTGTGGACAAGTTTAGGTTGTCAAAATTTCGGAGCGATCCGCTCCTTTTTCAAGACACAGTGAAACAGAACAGTTACATGTACATATACATCATATTACAAGAAGATAGAATTGATTTACTATAATTGAAAATATAGCTATTATATAAAACCAATAGTCCCCTCGGCTAAAGACAGCCGAAGGCAGCAATTAAGCTGGGAGCATCGCGGACAAGGAACGCTGATGTAGAGGACCTATTCTTGTGCAAGATGCACTGTCATATAAAGTGAGTCAACGAGAGATATCAAAAATGTGGAACATATGCATTTGGAAATCTGGCCCGGTAAATGTGAAAAATCTCCAATCTGCTACGGAATGTCTCATTAGTCGCCTCTCAATACTGCGATGGATCTAAGTCACAGCAGGGGGTCCCACTTAGTCGCCTCTTTTGGTTTGCAGGAATAATGCATGTGCCTCTCTATTGGTTTGTAGGAATTATGCATGTAATTATCAAATAAGTGAGTACAGGAGGAATAAGTAGATAAAATGGCTAAGATACTGTATAAATCTGCAAAATAAATCTGACAACGGCTGTTGGTCACACACACTGACATGAAGCAGCAGGCATGCAGGCGATATGTAGTAAATAGATATATATTATTTTACAAAATATCAAAGTTGGTCACTGGCATCATTCAATTGATACAGTCAGGGCAATTAAAGCTGTTGGTCTGCAGGATCAAGTTGGTAGAGTATGTACCTGCTGAGAACTTAGAGGTTTTAGATCTAAATTATGATTACATTCAAACTTAGGTAATGCGACAGTCGTGTGCTTCCACCAGTGATCGAACCTGTGACCCCAGCAGTGGCTGATCCAGAGGGGCTTTTTGGGCTTCAAGAACCCCCCACCCTGAAAATTTTCTATAAAAATCGTGTATTTTCACCCTTTTCCTAAATTTTCCCCCTCATGGACCCCCCCCNGGAAACCCCCCTGGAAATTTGGAAACCCCCCAAGATAGGTTTCTGGATCCGTCACTGCCCAGACATGCTAGTCAGAAGCTCTAGCTACAACTCAGCTACAGGGAATTTCTCTCTATTGCAAATGTTTGACCTTGAACACCACAACAACCCAGGTTCTTATTCCCTGTCACCACAAGGAGAGAGATACATGTAGCTAGTACTAGTGCGCTTCCACCAGGGTTTCAAACCTGTGACCCCATACTTCCTAGTTGGACACTCTACCGCTGAACTAAAGGGAAATTCCCTCTAGTGCAAAGCTAGAAGGCAATCGTAATCCTATGTATAAAATCTATAAATAGATTCTGCCAACACTGTTTTTTTGCCACATTTTATAAGAGGTTGAAGATCTGGTTTGGATCAATCACTAATGACCTAATTGCTTGAGTAAGTAGAGAGAGACGTCCCATTTACTTGTTTGTCTGTTGGGAGGTTCCAGGTTTGAATCCTAGTTTTGCTAATTACGTTATGCATTACACAGTTACAGGGTTAAGGTCAGAAGTACACCAATGGTATCATACTGTAACAAAATATTCGACTCAGTCTGAGTCTACCATGTAACTTGGCTCCTTAAGTCAGCTGATGACTTCTGATCAATCAAATCATGAAATACAAGTCTGCTAAAGGAATGCCTCATTATAAAACTGCTGCTCAGAGTTCAATTGTTTATTTATTACATTTCATTAATTAAAATTTAAAGAAGACATGAAGAAAATGGAAGTTCCAGAATATATAGAATGCGTTTTTGTTATTAATTATTTAGTTACTCTTAAAGACTATTTCTCTTCGCTATGCATATGATGAATGAGTAAATGTATTTCTTGTGATTCTAAACTGACAGGTGTTTGACATGGATCTGAAAACAGCAATCACAAAATTAGATATGACACTGCAGTTTTGTGCAGCATGAACTTTCATACAATACTCACATATAATGAAGTACCTTATGGATTTGCAGTGGCAATGATTTAATCTTCGAGTACCTCAGATAATGTCAAACATTGCAGTCCTCAATATCGTAACCAAGAATGGTCGCCATTTTTCAACAATGGTTTACCCAAATTACAAAATAAAAACAAAACGGAATTATTCTAATCGAAATCATGTGATTGTCGTTAATTATTCAATAAGAGTACTAAAATAACTACTATTGTAAGTTGAAAGTATTTCTTGTTTATATTCATTAACGCAAAAGCGCTGTTCTATAATTATTTGTTCCAAAATGTCCCAAAAATTCTAATTTTCTACCTACTCAAAATGTAACTTCCGGTTTTTAAAAACGTTGAAATGGCGTCAAAACGTAAAGTAGACTTTGCAGAAGGTGATAATTTGATCGTCAAAGGTGGCGACGAATCACGGAGGTTCAAAGGAAAACACTCACTTGACAGCGACGAAGAAGACGAAGACACAGAAAAATACGATGTCATGCCAGAAGATGAAATAGAAGGTTATTTGTTGTTAATTTGTTACACGACAAAAGCACAAGTGAAGAACTCGTTTCGAATATAAGTAAAAAAAAGTGTATGATATAATATTATAGTATAGTATGACAACAACCTGTGACATGTAAAGCTTAACATGTTTAGAGCTAGTCAAAAACTACGTAATTTAGTGATTCACAAAAATGTGTTTTATTATTAAAGCCATTTGGTCTCTGTGGATAGAAATCAGTATTTTGTGACATGCAGCAGCCACAGCTAACGAGTTTGTTGGCTGTGAATTTTGGGGATAAATTAGACTCTTGCACATTTGGAAGGACGGTAATTTTAAAAATAGAATCTATTGTTGGTTTGTTAACCAGAAACAAGACACTATTTCATTTGAAATTTTAACAGTATGACATGCAGGTTTTGGGCTGCTCAATTCAATAGCACATGTACTATTGCACTGATAGATCGATTGACCCAGAGTTTTTAGCTCACCTGTGAGCTTATGCCGAATTGCGGTGTCTGTTGTCCTATGTCATCTGTCCGTCAACTTTTTCTTTTGAACGACTTCTGAAGAACTGGAGGACCTAGGGTCATGATATTTGGCCAGTAGGTACCTGGGATGGAGTGCTATAAACTTTCCTCATTAAAATGACCTTGACCTACATTCAAGGTCACAGGGGTCAAATATGTTAAAATCTTCAAACAACAATATCTTAAGAACCATTTGGACTAGAGTCATGATCCTTGGATATGTTACAAAGACCAGCAGTGATAATCTTTTTCTTTTAACAGTAATGATGTCAAAGGTCAACTTAAAGTGCTAGTCAGGGGTCAAACGTCAACATGGGTTAAAAACTTTAACAATCTTTTTCTCAAGTTCCATAAGGCCCAGGGTCATGATATTTAGCCAGTAGGTACCTGGGATGGGGTGCTATAAAGCTTTTTCATTAAAATGACCTTGACCTACTTTCAAGGTCACAGGAGTCAAATAAGTAAAAAAAAAAAAACTCAAACAGCCATATCCTAACAAGCATTTGGTCTAGAGTCATAATACTTAGTATGTTGTTTAGACCAGCCTTGAAGTGTTTCTTTATTACAGTAATGAGGTCAAATGTCAACTTTAAGTACAAGCGAGTCAAAGGTCACCGCGGTTTAACAGCTTTAAAATTACAATTTCAAATTCCAAACAACAATATCTTAAGAAGGGTTAAATATATGTAAAAAAAATCTCTTGTGTCCTAGTTACAAATTTGGTCTGAAGTTACCAATATGTCAGTTTCATGTAACAAAAGAAACAGGTGAACGATACAGAGGGCCTCTTGTTTCTGATGTTGCTTTCTGCAGAGCCTTGGCAAAGACTTATCCCTAAAATATCACATGTAATAATAGACAAAAGGATTTGTCTGCGTTAAGGAGAAAAAGACCAAGGATGTAATGAGAGTAAACAATCTTAAGTTGATTGTTACTCACAGCGTTAAAAAATAATTTTTAAACCACAAGACAGTCGGGCTTGTAGAGCTTAACCAATTTTCCTGGTCTATTTGAAAATAACCCAACATTGTTAACCATAAGTAATAACAAGTTTTAGAACCATTAGGTAAGCTGAAATGTTCACTAGTCTCAGTGGCCTCCCATACATTAATTGTCTAGCCAAAGGTAAAAGCTATGCATAAAAAGAATCTCTGAAATTTCTATTTAGCACAATCAATAGGACATTGGACGAACAAAAGATAGATTTAGACCTTGAAATTGATCTTTGTTTACATCTATCTTCCAGGACAAGAAGATTCCACGATTGAACGTGATGGAGAAATACAGATTACACCGTTTAACATGAAGGATGAGTTGGAGGAGGGACACTTTGATAAGGAAGGGACGTACATCTACGACAAGAAAAATGTAAAATATTTGAAGAAAAAAGTCTTCATGATTTACATTACTGGTCATGTACATAACAACTAGGTAGTAGGATAAAAATGAAAAAGAGTTGAATATTTTATTCATCAGCCAATAAGCTCACCCATATCTATTACAACCTAGTTAAAATTTGCCAAAAAATTACTATTTCATTGTTTGGTTTGTTGGTGTTTTACTTCCTATAAACAGCTATGCAGTCTTTAAGGACAAACCATGTTTTGATGGTGGAGGTAAACTGGCCATGGAGTATCCAGAGAAAAAAATACAATCCTACAACCTATTTCATTGTACTACCGTAAATAATATGTTGGCCCATGGGTTTGGTAGATAGATATACTGGTAGTACCTTGTAGTTTTGTTTGGACCAAACAAATCTGATAATTTTACTTCTAAATGTTTACAGCTGAGAAACACAGGATTTTCCTGGTGTTTCATTAAAGGAAATCTGTATTTTTATGGTTAATTTGTGACCTTATTGTCTTTTCTGAGATCTAAGGAAAAAATATATATATATAAAAGCATGCAACTATGATTCTGAAATGTAAACAATGAATGGACAAAAACATTGAAATTCCATCACACCCAACCAATCACGCATAACATTTACGTAGTTCTGATCGCCATGTATCAACCAATCACACATAACATTTATGTAGTTCTGATCGCCATGTACCAACCAATCACGCATAACATTTACGTAGTTCTGATCGCCATGTATCAACCAATCACACATAACATTTATGTAGTTCTGATCGCCATGTACCAACCAATCACGCATAACATATGTAGTTCTGATCGCCATGTACCAACCAATCACGCATAACATATGTAGTTCTGATCGCCATGTACCAACCAATCACGCATAACATATGTAGTTCTGATCGCCATGTACCAACCAATCACGCATAACATTTACGTACTTCTGATCGCCATGTACCAACCAATCACGCATAACATATGTAGTTCTGATCGCCATGTACCAACCAATCACGCATAACATTTACGTACTTCTGATCGCCATGTACCAACCAATCACGCATAACATATGTAGTTCTGATCGCCATGTACCAACCAATCACGCATAACATATGTAGTTCTGATCGCCATGTACCAACCAATCACGCATAACATATGTAGTTCTGATCGCCATGTACCAACCAATCACGCATAACATTTACGTACTTCTGATCGCCATGTACCAACCAATCACGCATAACATATGTAGTTCTGATCGCCATGTACCAACCAATCACGCATAACATATGTAGTTCTGATCGCCATGTACCAACCAATCACGCATAACATATGTAGTTCTGATCGCCATGTACCAACCAATCACGCATAACATTTACGTAGTTCTGATCACCATGTACCAACCAATCACACATAACATTTACGTAGTTGTGATCGCCATGTACCAACCAATCACACATAACATTTATGTAGTTCTGATCGCCATGTACCAACCAATCACGCATAACATTTACGTACTTCTGATCGCCATGTACCAACCAATCACGCATAACATATGTAGTTCTGATCGCCATGTACCAACCAATCACGCATAACATATGTAGTTCTGATCGCCATGTACCAACCAATCACGCATAACATTTACGTAGTTCTGATCTCCATGTACCAACCAATCACACATAACATTTACGCAGTTCTGATCACCATGTACCAACCAATCACACATAACATTTACGTTGTTCTGATCACCATGTACCAACCAATCACACATAACATTTACGTAGTTCTGATTGCCATGTACCAACCAATCACACATAACATTTACGCAGTTCTGATCACCATGTACCAACCAATCACACATAACATTTACGCAGTTCTGATCACCATGTACCAACCAATCACACATAACATTTACGTAGTTGTGATCGCCATGTACCAACCAATCACACATAACATTTATGTAGTTCTGATCGCCATGTACCAACCAATCACGCATAACATTTACGTAGTTCTGATCGCCATGCAGCCCTGCCATTAACTAACAAACACAATAAACTTTCGGTCACTCTGCCTAATGACCTTAACCTCAGGACACCCATCATAATCATTTTCCCCAATCACAACTCTGGGTTTAATTTCATAAAATGAAGTAGATAAGACAATTTTACATAGCGTATTTTCAGGTCTTTACCTGGAAACAATGGAGATTCTAATTATATTGCCGTATACACATACATACGGATCTCATCCTTGGAACCATAAAGAACCCCAAAAATTCTACAACACTGGTATGCTTTTAATGAGAACATTTTACTGTGATTGCTTCAAAATATCCAGATGAGCGCTACAGGCCCTCTGAGTCTCTTGTTTAAGTTGTGAAACTATTTAACAATTCATAAACAACATTTGAAAGTTTACATTCTCTATTTTGCAAATGATTTTCATCATTTGTACCCATGCAGAATAATTTCCAAAAATATCCTGACACCACCTATTTTGTATATAATTCTAATGTCTGTGTTCATGTTGCTGTCTGTTGTCAGGAGATCCGCGACACTTGGATGGATAACATTGACTGGGTCAGAGTAAAAGAAATACCAAAGTCCAAAACCGATTCAGATGATGATTCAGAGGAGGAGCAAATCAACGAGGAATCCATTTTAAAAGAAATGCTGAACTATGTTAAACCAGGGGAGACAATCACGAAAGCCATACGAAGGCTTGGTGTGAAAGGTGGCAAATTCCAAACTGCCAGTCAGCGCTGGAAGGCAAAGAAACTGAAACTTGAAGTTAATGATGAAAACAGTGCAAAAGACAAAGAGAATATGTTAAAATTGACAGGATTGGCTGATCAGCTGATGAGTGCCGGTAATATGGAGGTTTATGAAATGACATACGAGAAAATAAGTTACGAGTTAAAAAAGTTTGAAGACACTAAACCAAAGCCTGTCAGTATTCCTGAAGGTATGGACGACGACGATGCTCTGGACATGTTTGCAGAAAGTCTGGATAAAGAGGTGGCGGAAAATGATCCTGAAAAGAATCACACAAAATCTGAGAAAAATGGTAAGATTGCAGTGTCTTTTTTGTTTATTTCTGTCTAGTTTTACAGCTGAAATAGACTTGCTTCCCTTAGCAAGGAAGTGCACTTTTCCCCCAAAGTGTAGAAAAATGAAGAATATCTTCCCAATTTCAACTCAAATAATGCTATATTTTCTCATTTCGTGTAGGAACAGGCTGTTGTAAAATTTAGGTAGAAAAAAAACCTGAACTGTTCTAAATTTGGAATTGTTTCTGGACATAAGATATTTGATATTTTGGGTGTACTTTCCCCTCAGGCCTCAATCGTAAATTTCTTATCATTACACATACTTTTCCTGAATGATTTGATGCCAAAATACTTTCAGATTAAGTACTGTTTACGGTGAAACTGTCTCCCAGTCAAATATTTGCCGTTTACAGATTCAATCCACACTCGCCCTTGTTTGGTTTGCTCTTCACTTCGTCTTTAATTGCTATACATTGTATGGTGTGTACTAAAAATCGCTGTCATGATAAATTTGCCGTGATTTGGAGAGTGCAAAAAAAGGCCAAAGTTAAATTGCTGTGAACTTTTTTCTGTACACAGTATTTTAAATTTTAATAATTCATCAATGTTATGGCTGGCATTAATTCATTTTTAAAAATCAAATTTGACTGATACTAGATATACATATAACCTGTATATAAAATCTAATTTGACTGATACTAGATCTAGATATATATATATAACCTGTATATAAAATCTATTTTCACATTGGTGCTGTGTTGGAATTCCCTGCAGATCTTGTTTTTTAAACATCATTTATTGCATTACACATTTCCTTTTTTCACAATCAAAACAGAATGAGAACTTGTGCCAAAATAAATGCCCACTTTATACGAAAGCTGTACTGTTTCGTAATTCTATAAAGTTTCTTATGTTTGTCTGATTCAGAAAATGGTGACATCCTTGATAGTGCTGTGTATAACGATAATTCATATTTTGAGGGGAAAAATGAAAAAGAGAAATCCAGAGATATCAACATTATATTAAATGTTGTAGTCTTGTTGATAAGGGAAGTTCAGTAGGCCAATATTCATTTCCCAAAATCGTATAAATCATGGTTTTTTGGTAAAACATTATCAAGTGTTCCGTACTTTCTAGCATCTCCGAAGAACTCTGAATCAACTAACGATGAGAACTCCGGTATGGCGTCCCCTGGCCCCGCGGGGAAGCCTCCCGCGGTGAAGCCTCCAGCGACTGACCCCGCGGGGAAGCCTCCGGCGACTGACCCCACAGAGGTCATGTGGGAGTATAAGTGGGAAGAGGTAGAGGACGCAGAGATGCACGGACCCTTCACTTCGACCCAGATGTTACAGTGGACGGAGGAGGATTACTTCCCGGACGGCGTGCTCATACGAAAGGTCAACACTGACAAGTTCTACAACTCTAAGCGGATAGACTTTGAACTCTACACATGATTGAGTCATAGAATTTGACCTTCAAGATTATAGACTTTCAATATAGATGGGCCATAAACTTGGACCTTGCAGATGAAAAACTTTGACCTCTACGCACAATCTGGGCCAATAGTTTTGTCTCTGTCACCTGGTGTGGGTTGTACACTTTAAGTAAGTGGGCGATATATTTTGACCTTGTTGGCTAATAAAATTTCATCTCTGCAAGTGACTTTGGTCTAAGATTTCATTTTGAGTCATAAGCCTGGAAATTTGAGAAAAATTGAATAAATTTGAAAAAGTATACTAGAAGACAGATTTTAACCACAAGTTATTGTTCAGCTCTGGGAATTGTGTAACAATATTTTTTGTTTATATATATATACTGTAAAACTAAAAAAACACAAATCTGGCAGCAATCAGGTCCCCAATAGCAGTTTGGATGAGACCAGGAGAGTTTACACTGTCACTTTGTCTAAAGTAGGGCCTCATTACGTTTTTAGAGAGTCATCTTATTGGATGGGGGTGGGGATGACGATTAGAGTAAGGGAAATGAGAGTTGAGGGGCTGGAGAGTAGAGGGGCTGGAGAGTTGAGGGGCTGGAGAGTAGGGATGTTTGTGTTCAGTGTTACATCTTCATGCAAAATGTAGGTATAAAGTTTTATGTGTCATTTACATTTTTTTGAGGTGGTTTTTTTTTTGACAAACAAACTCAACTCTATATATAGCTCTAAACTAAAAGTCGATTTGTTTTCAATAATTTTATTATATAGATGATTCATGAAAGATTATTATTAAAATACTGCAATAGCGTTGAGGAAAAACCAAAGGCTTCAGTTGTTTTATACAAGTGAAACTGTTCTTTATGACAATAAGGTTTAACCTGGTCAGCCCGAACAATCTCATGCCAGCTGAAAACATATTTTCGTAACAAAAAAAGCACATCATATAAAACTGATTTTTGGCAGATTTGAACTTTTTTTGTTGTTATTCCTTTGAACCTTAGTTTTCAGAATCAGTGAAGATTTTTCAACTCTTGGAAAGAATGAACTATATTTATACCTAGTGTGTTTAATGGCAGCAGTACTACAGTAGGAGGATGTTTATACACAATATTACGTGATTGTTTCATTAAAAGAGAATTCCAAAATGATTGTTGTGGTTGTGTGTTACCATGAATCAGATGAGCTAATATCTGTAAGTAAGGGGTAGGGGATGCATATTTGCCAACTTTGCCTTTTTAGGAGGGATACTCCCTATTTTGGACCCTAAAATTGAGCATTTTCAACTAGTGAAATTGCTAAACTATTCGTATTTTCTAAGATCTGATAATTTCATCTGAATGAACAGCTCAAAAGATGCTTTTTAAAGTGTTATTTTTCCCTAGGGTTTGTCTATTTACATTTTAATTTTTGTTTTTATTCTGAGCATGCATAATCTTCCCCATAGAAATTTTATAAGTTGGCAAGTAGGGGGTTGGGGGTGGAGGATGGATCCAGTGTGTAATAGCAAATGTGTCTTTAAATATCATGGGTGTCACTGTGTTCAAAATTTTCAAAGAATGTTTATTTTTGTTTTAGCAATTCAAGATGACTGGAGACCATATTTGAAATGTGAATATTCAAATGAAACTTCAGAATTTGCAAAACACAGAGATCCAGGCAGTCATAATTTAACTGTATTATTTTTTCAACTACATCATCTCCAAATGTTGTGACAAAATCAAAGGCTCCCATTAATCTACTTGATTGGTTCCAGACATCAAAAACTGACCAATCACAATACTGATAGACATTGATTGGTTCCAGACATCAAAAACTGACCAATCACAATACTGATAGACATTGATTGGTTCCAGACATCAAGAACTGACCAATTACAATGCTGATAGACAGTGATTGGTTCCCAACATCAAAAACTGACCAATCACAATGCTGATAGACAGTGATTGGCTCCAGACATCAAAAACTGACCAATCACAATGCTGATAGACAGTGATTGGTTCCAGACATCAAAAACTGACCAATCACAATGCTGATATACATTGATTGGTTCCAGACATCAAAAACTAACCAATCACAATGATAATACACAGTGGTGCCTGTGCTTTGAAAATTATTAAAGCACTAAACGAAAAGCAGTCTGTTAGTACTCTGAGATCACCAGTATACAGGACTATTTCTAAACAGGACTAGTCGGTTCATCCTGTCCTCTAGTTGATGCGTACTGGGACTTTTAAATCATTATGACATAATCCAAGGGTGCAGATTAGATATATGATATATTTTGTATCAGAATCCTTAGATTTTGAAGATACACTCCAAGCCTACCAGTGTATCAATTTTCCTCACTGTAGATCTAAAAGAAGTGAAAATCTATAGCAACAGTGCTGACTTGATCTTTGTCCGTATTTCATCAAATGCATTCAATCCATGGTCATTCATGGAGAGTACTTTTGCAAGCAATCTGCATCTTATATACAAAAAGAAACTAAAGTAATTGCATATAATTTAAAAATACAGTAGCTCAAAGGTCCCAACATAATTTGTTTTATTTTATTTTGTTTATGGATCATACAGTCTAGTAAAACCGTATTAAAATGGGTAAGGTATACGACAGCCTTAAATGTGTTAGGTATACGACAGGCTTAAATGTGTTAGGTATACGACAGTCTTAAGTGTGTAAGGTATACGACAGGCTTAAGTGGGTTAGGTATACGACAGGCTTAAGTGCGTTAGGTATACGACAGGCTTAACTGTGTTAGGTATACGACAGGCTTACGTGTGTTACGCATACGACAGGCTAAAGTGCGTTAGGTTTACGACAGGCTTAAATGCGTAAGGTATACGACAGGCTTAAGTGTGTTAGGTATACGACAGGCTTAAGTACGTTAGGTATACGACAGACTTAAGTGTGTTAGGTATACGACAGGCTTAAGTGCGTTAGGTATACGCCAGGCTTAAATGTGTTAGGTATCCGACAGGCTTAAATGTGTTAGGTATACGACAGGATTAAGTGTGTTAGATATACGACAGGCTTAAGTGTGTTAGGTATACGACAGGATTAAATGTGTTGGGTATACGACAGGCTTACGTGTGTTAGGTATAAGACAGGCTTAAATGTGTTAGGTATACGACAGGATTAAGTGTGTTAGATATACGACAGGCTTAAGTGTGTTAGGTATACGACAGGCTTAAATCTGTTAGGTATACGACAGGGTTAAGTGTGTTAGGTATACGACAGGCTTACATGTGTTAGGTATACGACAGGCTTAAGTGCGATAGGTATACGACAGGCTTAAATGTGTTAGATATACGACAGGCTTAAGTGCGTAAGGTATACGACAGGCTTAAATGTGTTAGGAATACGACAGGCTTAAATGTGTTAGGTATACGAAAGGCTTAAGTGTGTTAGATATACGACAGGCTTACGTGTGTTAGGTATACGACTGGCTTAAGTGTTTTAGGTATACGATAGGCGTAAGTGTTTTAGGTATACGACAGGCGTAAATGTGTTAGGTATACGACAGGCTTAATTGTGTAAGATATACGACAGGCTTAAATGTGTTAGGTATGCGACAGGCTTAAGTGCGTAAGGTATACGACAGGCTTAAATGTGTTAGGTATACGACAGGCTTAAGTGTTTTAGGTATACGACAGGCGTAAGTGTTTTAGGTATACGACAGGCGTAAATGTGTTAGGTATACGACAGGCTTAAGGAGATTAAGTTCCACCGTAACCTTATTAGATTCCTTCTAATGGTTGCTCTGGAAGGCTGGTTAGAGTAAAACCAGTGGATAGGGAACATTTTAAATATAAATACAACTAAATTTCAGAGCCACTGATATCATTTCACTGCTATCCTATTTCTTAAGACCGATCAGATTGATGTGTTTTGATGGTATATTGTGCTTTGAAAGTCCTATTTTTAGTGGCAACAATTTAATTTTTTCGCTACCACTGATTAACGTTAATCAACCTTTGATCAGCTGGGACCAGGATGACAGGATAATGACGTGTACAGTCCATCAACACGTCTACCACCGGGACCTGAGAATTTGTTACAGCAATATTTGGACCTAACCTAAGGTGTTCAGAGTAATCATGCATGTTTTAGGGGTTTAGATCAAATTTCGGTTAAAATGCCACCCCAATTATTAGCTCACCTGGTCCTTATGACCATGGTGAGCTTATGTCATACTGCAGCGTTTGTCGTCCGTTAACTTTTCCTTTAAAACACTACTTGTCCTGAACGGCCAAGTAGATTTTGACTAGACTTGGTATGGATCATTCTTAGACCAAGGGGCCTCAATTTTGTATAAACGGTGGGTGTGGCCCCCCTGGGACCAGAGGGACGGGGCCCAATAGGGGAAATAGAGGTAAACCTTAAAAACTCCTTCTGCTACCATAGGGATTAAGAGATTTCATCCCAATTTGGTCTAGTGAATTGTTGGGTCAAGGGGACTCAATGTTGTATAAACGGTGGGTGTGGACCCCCTTAGGGCGGGGTCCCCCAATTGGGGAAAAAGAGGTAAAAACCCTTTGAAATCCTTCTTCCGTAGGAATTAAGGAATTTTATCCCAATTTAACATGGAGTTGTCATGGGGCTTCATTTTTACCGAAAATCGATCTAAACCACTATAACTTGTAAAATACCTCTGAACACTTCAAGTTAGGTCCAAATATAGCTGTAACAAATGATAAGGTCGCTGTGGTCTGAGCGTTGTCCTAGAACGTTGTAAATGATGTCTGAACCGACACTTGACCCTTCCAATTGATCTTATGTAAATAATTCACACCTGAAATAAAAACATAAACTTTCCCCACCCTTAACACTTCTTTGTTATTTTGTGTGAATTGAAATATGGTCTGCATGGTTTTAACACGTTACACTATACGGAGATCCAGGTCTGCGAATTTTCCCGACGCATTCAAATTTCTCATAACTTTAAATTAAAAACTTTTATTGTCTCAGGAATAATAAACTGTCACCTTAGACCATAAAATTAATTCAGAAATATAGTTTTAATGTCAAATGTGCACCATGCTAATCCCAATGTGTGACAAAACCTAGCTCGGATTTCCCGCCATAAACCATCTCAAGCATCGTCAACAATGGCGGTGATTTAAAAGGTTTCTATGTTTAAACTGTCTGCCGTCGGTTAATTTTTGCAGTGTTTTATGACAGGTGTTATGTTTTATATTGTACAGGTGAGTAGTTTGAGGGTTAGGTTACCTGGACGATTGTCATAGTTACCTCTGTGACATAACCTACATTTCAAATGAACATGTCTCGACACAGGTCAACAAAAACTGCATCAGATTACTTCTATTTGTTGTAAAAATCCTACTGTGTTGTCCTTTTAAACAAAACATGACACATTCTTAAATATTTTTTTCTTTTATCGAAATGGAATTCTGACTCATGATCAGACGATGAATTAAACAAATGATCCCAAAGGCTTTGAAGAGTGGGTTGGAGCGAGAATGGATGGGGGTTGGACTACTCATTCTCAGGACACATATTTAATTACCCACATAGTCCCGGTCCGTGCACGTGTGACGCAGTTCCATTTTGTAATTCCTAAGATGAATATTTCATGTAATAAACCAAACTCGTTCACACGTTTAAACAGTACTTGTTATTGTGTTGGCGCCGACATGTTATTTGCTTTTTCTCTCGCCTATGTAGACGTACTTTCATCCTCGAAATTCCGGGGGTGGCGCTGACTTACGTTCTGTGCGGAGAAAGTATGGGAGCGCTAAACCGTGGAATTATGAGGACGATGTACTTTTGTCTTTCATACCTTGCTAGTTATGGACAATGGCCCTTAGTTCATCTTTACAAACTAACAATAGGACGGCTGTATACGGTGGTGTAATCATGTGTATCATTGTGCTGAATGTTTCCAGAGACGTATACTACAATTGTACGTACATCTCTGATGTCTCTGACGATCTATTCTTC